ACGGATCGGTGGCAAACGTCGCGAAATAAGACGCTGTCGAACGCCAAGAATCACGAGACGCACCTGTGCGGCGACCCGACGTCTCATCACGGACGCAAATAAACGGCGTCGCGCCGTCTGCCGCTCAGCCGACTCTTTACTCGACCGAATGGCCAAAGGCGACCCGACACCATCCTCCTTTTCCACGCTGTACCGCAGTCCACGAAATTGCTACCACGACAGCCAGTAATTAGTACAGCTGCTGATTACGCAATTGGTACAACTACGATCTTAAATACGTTGCATTTATTTTCCACGAAAACCAGCCATTTAAACGCCTCTGAAGACCATTAATAACAATACGTGTTGTTAATGCTGACAGATATTTAATCACAAATTGTATTCTCCTCGTACGTGGAACGTTTCTTAATACATTTATAATAATTTCGAGATGGCTTTCGATGATGTCTGATCAACGGAAAGTTTAATAATAATTGATAGTAACTCTTAATTGTGTGTCCTATGTATTGTTTAGTGGATGCAACCGTCTTGTAAATGCACCTGCACCTATGTGTTTTATGACTTTTGACCGGTTGCGTATGCATCATTATCCCCGAAGGGATTAAATTGATCGGACGAGGGGTACATCGAGAGTCATAACACGAATTCATTGACACAAATCTTTGTTTGAGCATAGAAAACGATGCGCGTCAGTCAATCTTTTCACTCGTGTTATCCGCGTGCCTCTTTATCGGCAATTTATCAAGCTAAGCGGTGCGCTTTTTCAAGAACATGGCACACGCACTGTTCCGACGTTTAATTAATGTCCGCTTGTCGAAATTAATCACTTGTTATCTAACAGATACGAAACATCTTGTGCGTAGTTCTTCATCCGACTTCTACCCCCATGCCTTTTTTTTTTTTTTTTTTTTTCGTGGAAGTCGTGTGCGTCATTCCGACACGACTGGTTACGATCACCCAAACCGTTCGGAAAATTTTCAAAGCCTACGCTTTTCTTTGAAAAGAGGAAAAAAAAAGGTCGAACGTGTATAATATGAGCGATAACCCGGATATTAGCCTCTGAAAAACGAGATCGTGAAGGGCTCACGCGGTTAGCTTCCCGGAAGTGATAAAAGAAGGGGCAAAATGTTTTTTTCCTTTGTTTCCTTCATAGGAATATGTGACTTTTATTCATGATACGTTCTTGCAACGTTTAAAAAAGTTAACGAGCGAATAAAAGTTACATAAATTTTCCAATAATTATCAAAGATTCGAAGGTGCTGCTACAACCCCCGTGATCTGAAGAGCAATTAATCGTTCGAGATAAAATTTTATTACACATTTTCATACTCATTATCTACGATTCGTACGTTATGTTTAGAGACGAATCGTTAGCAATTTAAAAGAAATTACGAGCAGATTGCATGATCAAGTGTAATTTCGGAATGACGTTAAGATATTTCCTCCCTTGACCTAACCGACCGTCGGGCAAACTGTTGAACAGTTCTCCTTAATCATCCACAGATCACTGTTCTTTTCGAGGAATTCCTCTGATCTTCGTGGATGATGCTGACGTCATTAGGGACCTACGATAAGCCAACGGACGAAACGAACCTTGGAATTCCTAGTAGTCGAGACCAGTACGTGATCACTGTCATGAAGTCATTTTTTGGTGAACCAGACCCTTCGCGTACACGTGTTTCATGCATTAATCGTAATAATTTACATTTTTTCCCTATAGGATTATTCATTCAAATTCCAGCAAATAATTGGAACTGAAATATTGCAATTAATAATTACTAATAGTAAAGTTAATTTTCGGGTCGCGAATCTTTAACGTCCGCAGTGAATTTAAAGGATCAACGAAAGCGAAACTTTCCACGAGTCATTGTCATTAGGAAATTGAAATAATGAAGAGTGATTCGTGAAAGAGGACAGGCCGCAATACAGGAAAGAACTGGAGCGTTCGGGACCACACAAGTTTAATAGATCGTACGCACGGTGATCACACGTAACTCCTTCAGTACAATTATATCTAATTCAAGCCATAAAAATTCCGAAAGGAATCGCAGGGCCCGATTACGTGACCGCTCGTATAAACTCGTCTGATTTGCTTCTCGGAAATCGCTAGTACCTCTCGTATTGTCCGGCTGCAAAATCGAAACGACACGCGCGTACTGGTTCGTGTTATGGTGTTACAATCAGTAAATGATTATAGGCGCCACGAGGCATCCCAAGGAATTTTTCAAGATATTACAAAATATGTTTGCAAACATTTGATTAAACTTTCTGTTTTCCACCGAGGATGGAATAACAAACGTTTTTAACACTTCAACAGCGCAGTCTGGATCAATCGAGAGCAAAACAACACATATTAGCATATTAACAAATTCAATGTACAATTTTTAAATAAAAAAATTTCCCATATCAGAAGAATAATTTTCAGAGAAACAGTGTAAAATTTAGAAAATTAAAATAACATTGAATTCAAATTGGGACTCTCTTCGTGGTCCGCCGTCCGAGGGTTAATTAACTAAACAAATATAAATGGTTATGGTTCACGATTGACCCTCCACCAGTGTTAGATTAATAAATTTATAAGAGGAGAAAGATATTCCGAGGAGATTCGAAGGTTTTGGGGTGCAAAAAACGAGAGAATGCTATTAATTAACTTAAAGACGATGACGCGACGTTATTCGAGCCATCAAGAATTTCGGTGTTCGTCCCCGGCCCTCCTCGTGTGTCTTATTACGGTGTACCATGGAAAGTTTTGCGAATCGAAGCGAACACATGGAATCCAAAATACGAGCACGTAACTATTCAGCCGAATTAGCAACCGGCACGTTTTTAGATGGTAATATTACCAAGGTCGGCTAAATCGATTACGAATCAAATATAAATCATTACCACGCGAATCGACAACCTTCGTCGATGTTTCGATTCCGAAATCCAATTGGTTCGCGGAAAATGAATGGCCATGTTTGAAAGCACAAGATTCGCTTCGTTCGCAAAGGGGTAGGAAGAGCGGAATCCGCTCCGAACCGGAATACCGCGAAGGTTATCAAATCCGTATCGTTTAGAATCACCAAACAGCAATCTACGCTTTAGTGAAAACACGTAATCAGCCTTGCGATCACGAAATTCGATATGCCGGTGGTACTCGAAGCGCAGTTTCTTCGCGCGTAAAAATATGCGCTCACGAATTTCGCGGCTTCTTACGTTTCAGCCAGCCGAATGATGCAATTCGCGTTGACACAGAGTTGAAAGAGAACAGTGATAAAAAGAATGATAGAGAGGTATATACGAAAGAAAAACATACGGTGAAGCGTACACGCGCACGCAATTGATTATCGCGAGCGTTTTATTGCGAAACCCGCGATTTACCCTAGCGGATGTGCTCCTAATAAATCAACAATCTTCTATTGTGTAGAAGATGGGCGAATAAAATGAAAATTCATGAAAAGAAAAAAGTTCTAATTCCATAAACGATAGGAAAATAAGAAGCCTTCTTCTGTTATTATCATCGTCACCCGAGATTTTTCTTCAAGGCAAACTATGGCACTATACTCTCTCTATCGATAAGCAGTCTTCCGCCCTTGGTAGCGAAAGGGTTAAAACAAGAATGCGTTCAATTTGAATTCTTTGCCTAATTATCCACCCCTATCCTAGATAATCCTCAAACTTTCGCGTATCTCTTTCCTTCTGCCGATGCAAAATCGACGGGTCAAGTCAATGAGACTCGATAAATCGTGTCCTCCGCATATGAGGCGACCAACAGACGTCACGTTGAAAGCAGTGTGCCATTGGCCGAGATGCTGACGGGCCCCCGTCAAGCCCCCGTCAAGCCCCTGCCTGCATTCTGACTCACGTGCGTTTATCTGTCGTCGAATTAAAATACCCGTGGGCGAGCCTGTAAACAACGTCATCGATCGGTCCGTTTCGATCTCTGCTGATCTATGGACCGACTCGTACGATCGATCCGGCTTCGATAATGCCACGAAATCGGTCGACCGGTCCGAGTTTCAACGAAACTATCGAAACTGATGCTCGATTCTTTATCTATTACGCTATACGCCAAAACTGGGGCGTATCGATGATTATTTCTCTGATCGAATGAAACATAATAGGTTGAACTTTCTGCCGAGAAAGGCGCGCGGCTTAAATTACAATTTCGGCAAGATGATTCGCGTGTCACAACTCCTCGTTTCTCTAAATTATTCCATTTAACGAATCAACGCGATACGGTTAACAAACACGCAGATGCTCTTACCAACGTCATGATTTTTCAAGCTTGCAATCAATGCTTAGTTATAAATGATTTATCGAAACTTGCGATGGAAAGTGAAACGTATCATTACGTAGGAATCAATCCCGATATATATATATATATTGCAATATTCAGTAAACAAATCAACAACATTACAGACATAATAATTCGACCGCAAGTTTTGTACTGTATAATTGTCACGAAAGTTTTGACGCAGAAATCTGTGTTTATTCGATAACAAAATGAAAAACAAGATCGAATGAAAACTACATCCGTGCTATACGAGTAACCTCGTTCTCGAACGAATAAATTCTATTTCTTTCGGATGAAAATAACGAACAACATTATTTAGAGAAACTGGAAAAATTGGAAATTTGACAAAAACGTTCGATGGTACTTAACGAAATCGTTTCGATGAATTATCATTTGGATCGTTGCATAATTGCCCATTGAAAGGGTTAAATTCTACATGTCGTACGATTCGATTTTACCCCCTATCGGCGACGTTCGAACGCGATCGGCCGACGAATCGATACCGAGAAGAAACGCAGATGTCAGAGGATACTTAAGTTGATTATTATTAATACTGTTGTTCTTATTATTGCAACTTCTCCCTTCTCGAAAGCGCTGGTTATATTATCATCTCGTTCACTCCCTGGTCGTTTCTTCTTCTTTCTTACGACGATTCCCCTCGACGTCCCCACCCGTTCTCGACCAGCTAGTAGCTCAGCCTATATAAACTCCCGGCATCTCGAAAGTCTCCTCATTCTATACGAGGCAGTCAGTCTATGTATAAAGTCGGAAGAGCATCGCGGAAAATCACACGCACACCTATCACTTTTCCAGACACGCGTTGAATATCGTTCGAATCGGCGAACATCGTCTAGAATCTAACAGAGGATCGCCAGGAGGACCGAACAGTTCCTCTCGACGGAACCACCACCATCCTTGCAGTCTCAGTTCTGGTTAGACTCGGTGCGCGGGTCTATCCCGCCTCGAGGGTTCATCCTACACGTTCGCCTTTGAAGATCGTTCCGACGACCCGTCTGACTCGAAGAGACTAGGAGAGATCGATCGATCGATTGGAGATCAATTGGAATTTCTGACTTGGAGAACCGAAGAAATAAACGGCAAGATGAAACTGATACTATTAGTGACTTTGTTAGCTGTCCTCTACACCGTGGACCACTCCAACAGCGCGGCGGTGAAATCAGAGGTAAGAGATCCTTATTACGTCCTCAGATCACGCGTTAAGGGAAATCTTTATACCCGAGATGTACGAGAACCCTTTGCTGATGAGAACATCTTGGGGATGATTCAGAAAATAAATTCTAATAATTGCATGTAAACCATGAAATCCAGTAGTTATAAAGAAAATTGATCCAAAAATTCTAGCATAAAAATGAAAAGGAGCTTAGAGATTGTTTAACCCATTCATATGGGAAATGTACATTTTCCTACTGGTCGGCATTAATCAGTGAACAAGTACGCTGCCAATAATTAATTGAAAATTTGTTCATCATAGAGTTAGGTATTGTTCGAATAAAATTTGATCTGAAAAATCTTTGATTTACTTCCTTAGATATATTTTGTTCAAGCACCATTTTACCAAATTGGTAAAATTGCAAATGAATTTGCCTTGCAAAGTTTAAAAATTGAACGAAATAATAGAGGATTACATAAATTTTCAAACAATTGTATTGATATTCGTTAAAAAATTGAGGTGCACTAGCTTCTGTAATTCACAGAAGAGTTGGAAACATAAAACAAACAATTGGGCAACGATGATTTGCGACTATTAATTAGGTCAAGCGAAGCATCTGCAATTACTAGCAAATTTGCAAATACGCGGAGTGATAATGATTAAAATTAGTCATACTTGAGATTGCTAGACTATCAATGAAACCATTGATAACTTTCAAATGGAGAAGATCATTAACTCTTCTGCCTTAGGCATATTTAATATACACAAAATATTGTTATTATAGCTTAAAAAGCTACCAAATTAAAAAATTGCACAAAAATCTTTTCAGCTGCTGATATAATTGTTTTGTAGATGATTATAACATTTTTTCTGAAATGACGACTGTTAATGTAAAAAAATGATTTAAATATTCTAATATTGTACGCGATACAATTGCAATTGTGAGATTATATATGTATATATGAACGTAATTTCATGCATAATGATAACGCGATTCGTTCAAGAATCAAACTCCAACGTTCTTTTTCGAAATGCAAAATCGATAGTAATGACCTTAACTCAGTCAACCATTTCGTACGTAACGTCTTCTGACGTATTTATATACAGCTGAAAGCAGATAGATGATCGCGATAGTGGACGATTTTTGAAAAACAAGTGAGACATCAATGTTAAATAATATTGTCGTCGAACGTTTTCTCGGTGTATCATAAACAACACTTTAGCCTTACAACAAGCCTTTCGGAAAAGTGATCCTTTAATTGTAAAATTTCTTTTACGATAACATAATTAAAAAGCAAAAGATCGTAAATAAATTAACAGCAGGAATTTTGGATGTAATGTTTTTTAGGAATTTGCGGAACAATTGCGTCGTATCGTTCACGATAGTTCAAGAACTCAAAGAGCTACCGAAAGCGGCAACGATGACGAACCTAAACGAAATTGTTATGATGCACCTTGTGGATGGAACACGTACAATCTCGTCACTCGTCGAGGCGAATTATATACGCCAAACACGTGAGTTATAATACAATTATGTGCAAAAGTATCGTTAAAAATAATTATATGTATGAAAAATTAATTACTGATCATTTTATCGATCGTCGGTCACAAGCGATAGATAACGTCAGAAAATGGCGGGAATAATTGCACGACGGTAAACGAGGCAAAAATCACGAATATCGCATGTGTGTGTGTGTGTGTGTTTCAGATGCAAATGTCCCGACAAGACTTACAAATGCGTACGCACCGGTGAAAACGTAGCAATGAGTGCGTATGTATATCACTGTCGTCAAAACACGACATCGGATGATATCGAAGGTGAAACGTCCGACGACATGGACTACCTCAGTTAAGACGTGTCCAGAAGATTGTCAAAACATGCGAACATACCTGATTTAAGCACCTCCAGCAGCCATGGTCATGGGTATCACCGCCATCCTCGTGTCACCGAAGCGATTCTCCCCTTGTCTTCTCATCCGGGATTATTTTAGCATCACAAACAAACAACGCGTGGACACTCATTTTATGTTACCTACATAACAGAACAGGTCACGTGGTTTTATCTTATTTATGCGCTTTTCGACGATCAAACACAATTAACTTTGAAGTTTCGCGATCCTACTAACATGGCGCGTGCGCAACTGATGTCTACCGCGTAAATTTGATCGAATGCCGGATCGATATATTCAAATATGGCCGCTATTCAACTATCGAACTTTTATCGAATCTGAACCCACGCCTAAGAAATAATTTGTTCCTTGAATTAGTATTCATAATGATATAACAATGAATCGGCATTCAATCAATGATATTTAAAGATTATTAATGAATTGTTGGTATTAATATACTAACAAAGTGAAAATTTAAGTGAAATTGATTGGACCATGGCGAGCTCACGGTTGAATTGCACGCGCAACATGTTTTAGACAGATTATTATTATAAAAAGTAGTTGTCTCGAGTATATTTTTATTCAAAAGCTTGTCTGAATGTATTATTTACAGTTTTCGTATTGTTTTAACGAGAAAATTTGATAAAGATTAGTAATCTTACCGAGTTACCCTGGACGACTCTTCAAACGATGTGACCCGGACGAAGGGACTCACGCAACTAAGCACGTAGTCCGTGTTTCTATGGTTACGAATACTTCCCGCGAATGGCGCGATTTTCAAATGCGTTAAAAACTAAATTCGCATGATAATTTGCTGTCGTTCGAAAATAGATAAGTTTAATCGCAATTTTACTTCAAATTACTCGTAGAGAAAATTCATCATATGTTAATTACCAGCGGCAACTAACACGTATTAATGTTTTACAATTTATAATGATAAGTTTTATTAGATTTTCTTGGTTATTTGAAAATAAGTTATAATTCATAAAATTTTACTAAATACAGCAATCTTTTCAAGACCTGATTTTAATTCTATTTTAACGATTAGTATCAATCGTTTTGTTTGAATTAACTGCATCAAATTACTGTTCGATGAATAATTTGAAGGTAAATAAAATCAGGTCTAAAGATTATAATTAATATAAAGCTTCTGATAAGATATTCAAAATTCGTATTTGTAAATCTGTTCCCCAAGCTATTAACGCTTTTGATACTTATTTAGACAAGAAATGTGCGAATTGACATTTTAAATTTAAGAAAATCCACAAACCTCGTGTCCTTTTCTGTTTATTAGAAAAATAGTACGATTGTGTAAATTTTATTTCATGGTTATCATTTAAATATTTACTTTTGATTCCATCTATTAAAAAAAAAAGTATAACCATGAATCATTAAAACTATCTTGTCTTTTTCAAATACGAATCGAGGATAGATTGTCAAAATCATTGACAAATGAACTTCGACACTCGATTCGAACACACATTGATTTCTATTTGAATTTTAAAGTTTCTTTAAAGAATGTGAACTTTTGTCGAAGTTCATCGGTGACTAACAATTATTTCTTAAGTTAACATACACCTTAGAAGTACTCAAAGGTGGTGTAAAAGTAGCAAGGATAGTTATTACAGTATTTCAATAAGGCACAATCCACAATTTTGTACTTAACGGGGAAAATTGTTTCAAACTTTTTTGTATATCATAATCGACTATTTATAACGTGCTAAAAACAATAAATGTGAACATAATATCATTCATTCATTACGAAACATCATACTCAATTATTATTTTTTTTTATTCAAAGACCAAAGAGGTTTTTGCTGCAATATTTCTCCATTGAACATTGTACGCTTTTTAAACAAAATTACACCATTTTCTAATTATCTTTCAAAACAAAGATATGATAAAATAAAAAGGTAACTTTTGTTAGTAAAAATTATAATATTTCAATTTTCTACACTGGACAGGATTTTTAAATAATAACAATTAAACTATTTTCATCAAATTATAGTCCTTGAAAGCGTACAATATCTAAGAAAATATTTGAAATGTTTTTAGCAAGCATGTAGAAAATAGTACAGGCAATGTATTCGTATACAGTATTTCATTTAGTAATATTTAATACACAGAAAGTGTAAATTATTTTTAATAAAAATAAGTAATGTTGTAGGAAATATGCTGGATTTGATACTTCTTTTCCCCTCTATTTCCTTTCTTCCTCCTTAAATACCACTTACCTCCAATATAATCAAATATATTATCTTTTCTTGTTTACAATTTACATTGATAAACGATTTTATCGCGACTGAGAATAAATGAAATAAAACAATCTTAATATTAATTGTTTATTAATATTAATAATGGTTTGTGCAAAATATATCAACATTAAATTATTATCTTGAGTAATAAAATTGCCTGTACATTCACTTTTGATACATGGACATACACTTTTAAAATTAGCAATTTCTCGATAAAATACACTATCAATAGTCACAAGTAGTCGAGTATCGGAAGACCGCGTCTCTCTCTTTTTCTTTGTCCACTTTTGATAAGATACACAGTTCTAATGTACAACTGTAGTATATTGCATAACTGAAGAGCACGGTGTGTTTGTGTTTTCACTCTCAAAATTACAAACAGAAACGACAGACAAGGCTTCAACAAAATTAGAATAAAAATGAATTCAATCGTGTTTATGCGTACACCGTAATCCATCAATATGTTTTAATAAATTCGCTTAAACGAAATTAATTCGTCTTTTTTTTTGTACGACTACGCGCAGTCTGAATGTTACAAAGGAATTATTTTCTTTCATTACCACGCACGAACATGTAATTTTCCTTTTTCCATTACCATGATACAATTTCAAAAACTAAAAATTTGTAACTTTTCTAAGTTCGTACGTATATGACCTTTGTATCGATATACAAAATAAAAATGAATAAAAGATACATTTTTAATACAATGATGAATAATGTAAAACAATAAGCTATGTACCTCGTGCGTGGTGAATTAATATCTTTCTCTTAATCGTGTAAACACCGCACTCTGATTACTAACAGCTTTGCACTGTACAGAAACACCGCTATATTTATTATATTTTACACTTTCTATCGAGTAGCCTAAAGATCAGGTAAAAAATAAGGCCTAGTGTTTGTTTCGTTCCATGCACATGTATGTGTATACATATCCACGTACATATGCACTTACATATCCATACATAGATGCATATACATATTTACAAACATGTATATTTATTACATGTCTTATGTATGTCGAATTCGTGTCGTTTGTACGAAAAGAATAAGAGGAGCAAGTTATAAAAAACTTTGAATTAGAAGTATTTTACATATGTGCATACAAAGCATTCAGAATAACCTGTTTTTGTAAAATTATCGGGAAAGAAGTGCGAAATCTATACTATCCTCGCATGAATGAAAAGAACTCCTAAAATTTATCATTAAAAAGAAACCAATTGACTTCGATGTAATTTTTAATTTAATTTTATAGTCTAATATTAAACAGCTTTTGATTATTAACAATATTTGAACGATTGCTTAAATCTACAAAAATAAAATACTTAATAAAATAAAATTGGTTGAATCTCTAATGTATTTATAAACGACAATTAAATTACGATAGATTATTCTAATACGTTTAAGATATTCCATGCAGTATCAAAAGTTTTATTTTAACTTTACTCTCTTATCGTAAAAGGTTACCTGGAAAACCTGTATCTAATTATATTGAAAAAGTAATGAAGTTTAGAAATGAAACGTTACGCGTAACTATCTTATATTACCTGATCACAAGCATATGCTCAATACAATTGAAAATATCGCTCCTTCTCATTGTCTTTCTTTGCCAACTTTTTAACGTTTAAATCTAGTCTCTCGAAGTAAAGGAACTTCGTAAAATCGCTGAACAGACAGCAATTTAACAAATCAGCGATATCTTCATTTACACGAGATTATTCATACCTGTACAGTTGAAGAATCAAACTTATGTCGAATTGAGAATGCGGTAAAGGGTGTGAAGTACATATAATGTACAGACGTTTCGTTATAGTCCTCGATACCTTCGTGTTTCTTTTTTAACGACCACTTCTGCACTTCGTGTCTTTGCTCGCGATGAACTTTGGTGACAAAAATAAGACGTTTCCCTCTTATAGTTCGTGCAAGTAACATGCCACAAGAATTAGTCTTAATTTTGTCCTGACCCGTGATAACTCTATCTCTTCCTCCTAACTACTTATTCTTAACAGAAAGTATCCATGAATGTGAGATTATCGAAACGAGCTCTCAAGTAGTAATCAATATATTCTCAAAGAATGGTAAAGAAATTATAAGAGGCGTAAGATTATACACATGATTCCGTTAATAGATCAGGTTGCAAACGTTCCACTCGATAACGATTGTATTGTCGGTAAGGTGATCTCGTTTGATCGTTATCCGTAATCACCCGTGTCTTATGAGGGATCAGATTTTCGTAACGACCCATTAACCAGTCCTGGCATAATCGATGTTGAACATCCGCAACATTTTTAGATGCCCACGACGCTAGCCACTGGTGGAACTTTGAGTTCAGATGTTTCGTCACAGTTGGATGACACTGTTGAAAGAGAAAAATATAATTATTAATGTTTTATGGTATCAGAGAAGATTGAGAAAAATTGTATAATTAAGAGACATACCTCTCTGGCACGGCTAAACGAATTCTTTTTATACAGGAATGCTTCCTTACTAGCAACATACAACATTTGGTAATTATTAGGATTAAATCTGCACTGTGTTTCATCAGAGTTGATTATGTCAGATGTGTCTCCAGAGTCTGCTAATCTTAAACCAGGAGACCGTTTCAGGAGAGAGTCTACAGAATCAATTGATTTTTCTTTGTCTGTTGATCTAAAAGGATAGATAGCAGAGATTAAGTAAAATATTCAGATAATGTGTTTTATGGGTGATTGATATAATGGTATCAAATTAAGGAAATACTTACTCTGCACCTTTCTCGGGATGATTAGCATTAGGCATGGATGCTGACATCATTCTTGCGGTCTTTTTCCTCCATTGTCTAACATTACGGTAAAGAAATACAGGCTTACGTCCTGCCAAGATTCTGCCTAAAGAACTCCACCCATTTCCATCCATCTACAACAATCGGTTAATGTTAATTTTCTTAAAATATACAAACTTACAAGGTGTTAATATAAAATATTTAAATACTATCGCTTATTACACTATCACAAATAGATATTACTAAATTTAATATACTTAAGTTAAGTGTTCTTATTACAGCACAATTTCTTACAATATCTTATACGTTATACTAAGTTACAAACAATTGATTTCGCACGGTTTACTCTTTTCTTGAAGTAACAGTAGTTTAAAAGAAACTCCAAAACAAAATAATAAACTACAAAAAATATATACTTAAATAATTTGAAGAAAAATGAACATCAAATAATAATATTCTACTTTTCTACAAAAATAATTGAATTCTATTAAAAATGTATCATAAAAAATGTTCTCCATGTTTTGTTCTATTCTTTTTTTCCTGCATTTTTAACAAATTGCTTGCAATTATGTGATTGTCATTATACACTGACAAATAATTAATCACATTCATGTCAAGAAAGTCGAACTTTATAAATAAGAATTACCAGTAATAAACTCGGATAAACTTGGATAGGCAAAGGGATATGTTTCACAGAACAACAGAAGAAAATGTGAACGCTTATGTGGGAAATTGTATGCATGAAAAAAGCAACAATCAAAATCGGGGGTCGAAATGAGATCTTGCAACAGAACAGAACACTTGCTGTTTTACTACTTTCAAAGATATTATAGGTACTACAGAATTGTATTAGACTGCAAGAACTTAACTCTTTAGTGTAAAAGAAATAATGTACAAGTTAACACTCAATATATGGCAAAAGCTTGTTTTCAGTACCAATAATACTTGACAATAATAAAACAATTTTCGTTGATCACAAGCAAAAAAAGTAAAATGTGTGTTTAGAGAACAATTCCAGTTCAATTTTCAATCTATGCGCATTCATAGACGACAAATGAACTTTCGAATTCGGAAGCATAACAAAAGAGGCAAAATGTTAACAGAAGTCCAGTTAAACAGTTTGATAACAATTTTCAACTATGAGAAACTTAGCTAGTTGTTTAAGGTGCAAATGTGTTAGAAAAGAGATATATAACTCTTGATATATATATTTGATCACCGTTTAATATTTAGCACACATAATATTGAAATAATAAGCAGAATAAAATTGAAGCTAAATGAGAGAAAACATTCAAAATAAAAATTGGAGGATGAACAAAAAAAGAAATCTTCATCATTTCAATCAATCAGATATACTTGAATATAGCATTAAACAAAATATTTGGTTTTGTTTGTTCCTTTTGCTTTGTTTTGTTCATAGAAGCACAAGCAAAAAACTTTGTTCTTTTACAAAAAATTAATGTCATCGGAGAATCAAAGTAATATAAATTTAGTGGTACAAAATGATGTTAGACAATAATGTTTAAAAGCATTGTTCATGTATTTCAATATCTCTCTTCTATACAATATTATTGTTTATCTATTATTATATGTATATTCATTTCATATACAGATTACAGTTACAAAATATATATATATGTCTTATATATATATAGTTTAAAATTCACTGCGTAAAGTGAAAACGGAGATATGAGCTTATAACAATCACATAAAATCTGTCTGCACATATGATCTTCATAGTCTCAATGAAACTATATTACAAATTGTCACAGTAACGTTTAAATCAGATCATTTGTGGCAACGTTTTACATATATGTATAAATATGTATGCATGTATGTATAGTTAAATCAATGAAAAATTTTGTGCCACGTTATCTAATAAAAACGTATTAAACTGTTAAATAAACGAAAAGAATCTATAAACACACACGTACATGTAAATATACGTGTATAATCTTTCTATATATTTATATATTGTATATATATATTATGTATAGCGCTTAAAATTCCATGATGCAGAGCCCTTGTAAAGGAAATGCATGTTTACAATTTGTACAAAATACGAAGATAGTTTCAACGAGGAAACAACAATTGCGAACATCGCATCTGAAAATTCCACTCTTCGTCACAAACGTACGTGTATATACTGTACAAAAAAAATACTACGGCAGAGCAAAACAAGAAACAATACCTGTTGCCCATAAAATGTATAAAACATATGTATTACGTCGACGTCAAACGATAAAAACTAATGTGGTGTTAATTAGTGTTTCAATTAAAAAGAAGTCCTAACGCGACATTTCAACGTGACAAATAAAAGCACATTAATCGTGGAATCTGATAAACACATTGTTCGAAGCCAGAAGTATTGAACAAAGGAAGATTTGTTCGATATTAAACAAAAAAAAAAAAAAAAAAAATTTAATAAAAGTGTTGCTCATCGAATGCTGAACGCTAACGTTTCAAGCATAACAATTCTTCTCACTGCGATGGAAAATCATTAACACCCTTCGACTGAATCGTTTCGACACAATAAAAAAAAAGTAGAGCGAAGAATATAGTTGTGTACGAATGAAGTTACTGAATGCCAGAAGGACCTCCTTAGGTAAGAAGCAACGATAGCAAACCGAGAGAGCTGAAACTGTGAAACCTTTGGCAAATCATTAGATCATCATGGGATATCAACGTCTCATACTGTTACGTTCCTCAAAATTAGAACTATGAATTAGTTGAAAAGATACCAGTGAATTTCTATTTACATGCTACACCATATATAATCTTTGCTTCACTACTTATAGATTAATATATACATAGCAAAGAATTATTATTATTATTAATATAATACACGTGTACTTCACAGTGGCGCAACAGTTAAGTCAAGAACACACTTAGTCCACGCCATGATACACTACTTCCAGTTTTAAGTACAAGCTAGAACCAATGCAAACTGCATCTTATATATCACACTACACCCTTTAAATCTGATTCTAAGAGTGTAACATAACATCTTGCACCAACAGATGACTTTTGTAATTCAAAATTCAATTCTAGTGCCTAAATAATCTCTAATGTCTAAAATATATATATATATTATATATAAATTCAATGTTTTATCAACATACCCTAATTCAAAGGTAGGAAGGAGGAACTTTTTCCCAGCTTCTTTCGTTTAATTTCCACAAGAAATGTTAACACATCCTTTGAAAGTATTCGAGAAGCATTCCGAAATATTACTCTGTTTCGTGTTCTGCATCTTCTTTTCGCATTCGTAAAATTTTTACTTATTCCGGCGTATCAAAGGATTTTTTTTTTTTTTTTGGTAGCAACAAATTTTTCAAGTTGAAGGGAGACGACAGAAAATGCCATGATACACGTGATGTGGCGTGGAAGTAATGTGTTCACGAGTCAATATCCATATTTCCTTTCCAAAGGCTTCACGATTCTTTTTTTTTGTTTCGAATGTAACAGCGAATGGTGGAAATTTTTTTTACAAGTTAGCAGATGCACACTACCAGTAGACCTAAGTTGCGTATCAAAACATATGTACAAATTTATATCAAATATTTACATTCTCTTCAGTTCTAATTCGTTAATAAATTCTAGAAATTAGTAGATCTTATCTAGTAATAATAATAGTAAGATGAAAAATGAACGAAACGTTTAGAATTAAGAATTGACCGATATCAAATGTGTTAAGTTTTAAGCTAACGTTTTTTTTTACATCCATTTATGGCACTGTTCGGATGACTTCATTTGTGTATGCCGTGTCCCCTTTTTCTTTTTTGTACATTTGGAAACGTATTTAAATGCTCGTCTTTCATCTCGTAATTACTCTTTCCTCTAAGTTAGTTAATTTTTTTTCTTTTCTTTCTATCTTTCCATTTCTTCTAAAGAAACGCGAAATAGGCAATAGTCACGGAGACAGTACGATAATGCATAATACTCTAATTGTATACATAAAAGTTTTCCTTGTTCATTTCGTTGAACCCGATTATCTTAATATCAGGTGATAGATTCACAGAGAAATCATGTTTGCAACATGAAAATAAAGTTATTTTTAACGAGTTTGGTAAATACTCCTAACTTTAAAGCTTTCAAAGCTTCTGCACTTTCATTCTCAATATTATTGAAACCAATCATAAAGAAAATGAAAAAAAAAAAAAAAAATAGAACAAACAAAAAGAATTTGTTAGACAACCATAAGACGAATAAATATAAATAAAATAAAAACAAAACGCAGAGTGTGTTTTAACGTGCGTTCACCGCACACTTTCCTTCAAATCATGAAACCTTACGACCTTGAATAAGAAACTCGAATAAAAGAAGATATCATTTCATTGAAAAATAAACCCTGAACAATAGTTCCGCGAATAAATGAATCAACCGAATGGTTATTTATATTGTAAAAGCGAGGAAGCAAAGCAATGAACGTTGGAACAATATACTTATTGAATGCCTTCAATAATCTTTTTCTTTTGAAATTTGGAAAAATTACTGTTCAAACGTCGTTGTTTTCTTTTTTTTATTATAAATCGATATTTAAAATATAGAAATATAATTTATAGTTTGTCGTGTAATATCTAACGGTGTAATTACAACACACTTGTAGTATGTGCAAATATATAGAATAAAGAATGGGGATTTGTAGTGCACTATAGGTTCTCTTTTCTCTTTTTTGTTATACTTAATTTACAGCACCACATTGGACGCGCGTAATTGAAAATCATATCTCTCTTATCTCTTTTTAAACATTATGAAAATAAATATATGACTTTCTGTCCTTTTCTTAGATTTTTTGCATTTAAAAGAATAATAGTTCATTCTGCTTATGTATACAAAGTTCTGTGACTTCTATATAATGACAAGTATGACACTAGTGCTCTGACCCCATTCGCATGATAAAGCATTGGTGATGACAGATCGTATATGGCTACGTAGCTTCCTCGTATTAGCAAACAACCGATATTTATATGCTGCAACGTTTATTTCTGAAATATTATCTACTTGTTCTTTAAGGAAGTCAACAAAGATTCACTTGAAGACCGATTTCCGGAATAGTGCCTGGACTGCGATTAAACGTTCACGCATGAGTACCACTGGCATATTTAGTACGATCACACGAAATAATAGAAGAAAGTTTTTAATTAAAAAAGTTGAAAAAAAAAAGAAAAAAAAGAAGAGAAACTTTCATTCTTTGGGACACTAGTTGTACAATGAATGGCAACAGTACAACTCCAATCACAGACATCAAATACAAATGAATGTAAACTTCAACGTTGGCAATGATTATGAAAAGGGATGTGGATCCTATACCTTCTTGCTAATGTCAGTGTTCTTGCGCTTTCTGCCCCTCCCCCCCCTTGCTGCCTGGTCGTTACTCACAGGATGATTGGTTGTCGGCTCATTGTCTGTTAAGGTAGGGGTGTCTTTCGGACTAGTCTGACCAGCTGGAGCAGAAAACCTCTCAACATACGTAGACCATTTTTCAGATACTGTTACTCCTTCCCTTTCTCTTTCCCTACAACTGTTGTCCACCGCCTCATCGCCCTCCGTATCCAACAATTCCATTGTCATTTTACAGTCCTTCTTGTACTGTAACAAGAAAAAGTTATGCTTATACAACTAACATACACAATATCGTTCTATTAATAATTCATGAAATGATACTGCTAGGCTGTAATCAAACCATTATATCGTCAATGTAACACCAATATGAGATTAAGATATTATTTGTAAATAACAGATAATGCATATTCAGTTCCAAGTTTGAATAAAATTTCATTAAGAAAAATATTATTTAACACTTACTATGTATATTTTGAAACAATTTTCATCTGCCATTGCTTTTTCAGCTTTTCGTTGATAAGACATTTCGGCACCGAGTCTCATATAAGCTGTAGCACATAAACCGCCCGCGCCACTACTCTCTTTTGGCTGACGCAGTTCTCGTTGGAATAATTCCATACACTGCTGACATATAGGATCCGTAACCAAATGTTGCAACTAGAAATTGTATGATTTTGTTTAAAGATTTGTTTTCATTGGAAAACACGCTATAAACGAAATAATCGTAGATAAATTTTTAAATAAGCAATCAGTAAACATGCACTTACTTGTCTCACTGCGTACGTTACGACTTTATCTAACGTAAAGGCAATATACGCGTGAATACCGAACATTTCTCGTAACGTATCCTCGTATGCAGTGCTTTCCATATTACCGTCTAAGACGTTCTTGACCATGTCAAGAAATGCAGGATAGTAGTTCTCGATTTCAAGTTCATCTGTATTAAACACGTAACAATGTTAAATTATGATCAAATGTATTTTATTAGAGTGGAAGGAAGGATTAAGGATTATTACTTTTGGGTTTTAATCTTAAAGCAACCGCCGTGCTCTCTTTACGTTGCTGTTTATACCGCGATTCCTCTTCTGCGAGGGCAACAGCCCTGTCGTACATCTTTGTTAATCTTTCGCAAAGAATATGATGTAACCTCAGGAACAAATACCAATTGTTGCTGCCCATGAAAAGCGAGTACGCTTCTTCCGGATCGTTCGACAAGGCATGGATCGGTAGTTTGACGTCAGGCTCGGTTTTAATCGAGGTGGAAGACGAAATCGGAGAAGCCGGTGGTTTATTCCTATTCGCTTGAAGACCACCACCCATAGAAGAGGTATTCATTGTTACCGTCTGAGAATTACTACACGCTGCTACATTCAAATCCTCTTTCTCGTCTGTAACGAATCAAATATATGATTATTCTGAAAAATCATGGTTTGCTTTATTTCCAAATTTCAATCCGCATTTACCGTCTTCGTCCCTTTCATCGTCGCTCAATTCCTGGCGCGGATGAAAGAAAAGATCAGGTATAAAATGCTTTAATAAAAGCTTTATTCGTTGCTTGTCTTCTTTGTGGGTAGCCGTTTGACGTTTCACGTGATGAATAAGAAGATTAGCTGCATCGTCCAGGACAGATTTATCTTTATAAGGTAATATGAGGTGTGGTCCGCTGTTATTTTGACCATCTCCGTTACCATCGTCCACCTGTTCGTGTCTCTATAAAACCAATTATTCTGAATAACGAGAGAAACTTTTCATTAACTTATAAGAGAATAAAATTATACAAACCTCGTCGTATAACGTTTCGATCTCGTTGAATAAACTTTTAGATCGCAGAGCCTTTACGTCGTTCTGCTTGAAGTTGATACCCTGATGATCCAAGGATTTCAAATAGTATTTCTCATTTTGCTCCCTCCAGATCTTATTGAACCCTTTCTGTGCCTCCCGCCATTCTTCCTCCTTACTCTTCAGCCGCCGAAGAACAACCGGCACCGCTACCACAGGATTTTTCTTAAGACCGTCTATAATGTCGGCAGCCTTGTCGCCGTATATCCTCTTCAGGGCTCTTTGATGAATGGTAGGAGAACAACCACCGAGACAATCGTCAAGCTTAAATTTCTGAATTTCTTCTTGACTCATTCTACTCATTTTCTTGTGAACACCCTCAAGAACTCTGATCGTTGACGCGTTTGTTTCTATCACACCATCCAATTCAAATCGTTCATCTTCGCAACGATAAATGAATTCCTCGTATTGAGTTTTCCTGAAAATTGAAATTCATCGATGATGATACCTGTAACTAACAAGAAGTATTGTATAAAAAAATTAAAAAAAAATATAAACCTCGATGTTACGAATGTACTATCTTCGGACCAAGTTGGAAACGAAACCCATGTATCATTAAGGACCTCTTTACACAACTGCGTCCTGCCTGTACACTTTGGTTGAACGTATGACTTTGGTAAAGCACAATAGGATGCACCCAGACGTTTGCATGCTGTATAGTCAATTTCCATTGCCAAATCACCTTGGGGTCGCTCTTGATGACTTCGTACGACATTATTTGGTAACGCCTCGACGTTTAAATTACTCCCCGTGTTTGTTGCATTGGTGTTAGAAGATTCAGGTAAATGACCGAGAAAATCTTTAAACCAGCGTAAAAGCTCGGGAAAACGACCGAGAAATGGGGTTACCAATTGAATCAACTCAGATTTGGATACTATTTCTTGATTGAAAAGTACCAAACATCTGAGAAAATTTTCGTATACTTCTTGGGACCTCAATGCTTTTCGAACCTAATGTAAATCAATATTTTATTTTCAATGTTCTTTATTAACGCTTGTTAGAGAAGTTTAAGAATACTGACCTTATCGAAAAAGGCATAGTCATTCAGGCTGCCATACTTTCCCGCTTCCGCTATAGTAACACATTCACGCATAGACGATACTTTATGCTTTTTCAAAGGGGGTGGACCATGCTGAATATGATGAGAGTTCCCCGCTGTTACCGATGGCGAGAAGGATGGACTTCTTTTCACTTGTCCTGTACCGTGGCTAAATTTCTGCACACTATTAATATCTCGTATACCAGATCTATCTCGTTCACGTTCACGATCTCTATGATCGCGACTCTCCCGTTCTATTGTACCAGTGCTACTCGCCTCTCGAAGATCTCTTGAAATATTTCCCGAATTATTGTAAGGAGCTTTAGGTCCCAACGGTTTCTTAACGATTGTTGTGTGATCGTTAACTGTAGCAGTCTTATTACTCTGGAACAATATACACGAATTAACCAATATTTTCTCCCAGTTATGTTTATTGTTTATAATAAACATGTGCCACTTACCAGTGAACTCTGTTGATTAGTAGCATCCGGTAAAAATTGTCCGAACTCGGCGAGTAAATCTTCTTGATTCTCGAACAACTTAGCAACCTGACTGTAAACTTCTGCTTCCGTTAAGTGTTTTACACCCCCTGATGCACCAGATCCACTTGTACCCCCCATGTGTCCAGATTCTTTTAAATTTCGTTGCTCTTTTTGATAAGTGTGCAAAATTTCTAAAAATCTTTTGTATTTGTCTGGCTGACCTTGAAATCGATTCTGTAATTATACATAATTTACAGGATTATTTTCAATCTCTCATTTTATTATCGTATCCTTTTAATTAAACACAAACCTTAATTTTATTAACATAATTAATCGCGTGATTAAATTCAACCGGTTGACTCTGCTGAGTCTGTCCACTAGGTGGTATGCCATCTTGTGCTTGACTTAACGCCTGACTCACAGCTTGAGCTTGCGCTGCGGTAACGTGTGAATTATTATATGCCTGGACCGGTGGTGGTGATGGTGCATGGACTGTCAAACTGTTATTGGAAATATTGTTTGGCAAAGAGTGATGAATGTTCCCAGATCTGATAGCAATTAAAAAGAAATCATGAAATTAGTTCAACAAGAGACTGAATGAGAAATCAGGTGATACGGGATATCCTACCCATGCATTATTTGCAAAACTGGAGGTGCTTTCGCGGGTTGTGTCGGAGGACTCGCGACAGGCGGTGATCCGACATTTACTGTACAGTGATGTTGCGACAATGTAGCCGTATGTGTCGCCGTTGGACTCGGCATACTAACAGATACTTGAAACGCGTATCCGCGTTCATTTGCTTGTACTTCTATTTTGTACCCCGGTGGAAGAAACGTATTGAAACCAACAATAAGTTCTGGATGTCCTTGGAATAACCGACTTACTCGCGTAATAACTCCTGGTGTATCTATACTTTGTGATTTAAACTCTTTCATAATGTCTAAAAAGTCATTGTACACCTGGAAGATAAGCATTCATTGTGATTATTAAAGTAATTCTTTGATCAAATAAATCCGTAGTTCTCATTATGTTACCTGTGGCTGATCACTAAATTTGTACTTTACTTGATCCAAATAAGACAATGCATCTTCCACCTTTAATCTCTGAAACTGTTGTGATCCACTTCCACCACCCAAACTGGTGCCTGGTGGAGTAGAAGCTAATGGTGTTACATTGCTGGTATGGACCTAAAAATGAAACAAAACTTTTACATTATATCCTTTCCAGCTAATTATAAAACACAAAACTTTAATAATAACTTTTAGTTTTAATACAATTCTACCTAACATCCTGTCTATATTCATACCTTTATATTATTATAGAGGTATTGGTATACATTTTATATCACTATATTTACAATTTATTATATACATTATGCAATATGAACCTTATGCCTTATTGTTGGTTGTTGCTGAGTATGAACTTGACTTTGTGTTCCTGGTGCAGGTTGTTGGGAACCCATACTATGGTTACTGTCACTACTTATCCCACTATGCAACCCTCCACCAGTATTTACACTGCTACTGCTACATGTGGAACCAAGTCCTGCAGATCCACTTCCCTATAAAAAAGTAGTTGCACACAACATCCAAATAATTGTACAGCAGTACACATAAACTTATAATAGGGATGTAAGGAAAACCTTTATTTAAAAACAAATTCAACAAAATGCTTTCATCAAACATATCTGTAAACCATTCAACTTTTTAAATAATAACAATAACACAGAGCATTTATTTTTTCATAATGGTATTACATGAGATGAGAATAAATTTATGAATTCAACAATTACAAAAAACGTAATTAGTGGACGTTTAATTCGACAAGCCGCTTTTAAAAGGATTAATTTCATTCACTCTTGTATCAGCTATATCATGTATATTTATACTGCATGAGAGACGATTATAAACGATAACTCTGTTAAATATAAAATAAAATAAATCATTATACATAAATAAAAATTATTTGAAAAAATCACCTATATCAGGAAAAAATAGGAAAAAGATATTGTGGTAGTTTTCCAACTCATTACTATTGTTATTATACAGTAGATAACACGCACCTTAATGGGGGAGGGAGCCGCAGTCGGCACTACAATTGCTCCAGTGTATTGCTGTTGAGCTTGGGCAGTTCCGAATTGTATGCTTCCCGGCATTTCTTTCGAAGCAACTGATCGAACTGCTTGGCCAGGTACAACAACGCCTATTCCACTGCTTGAATGGTACTCTAAACCACCTCCTCCGCCACCTAAGCCACTTCCTGCACTCACTGACGAGTGCTTTAATGTTGCTGCTGCTGGTGATGCTACCTCGTCCAGCCCGCGAACACGTTTCATCGCAGATCACATTGGAAATGCTGCGGATCAAGAAACGGTGACATTCAGAAGCGTGTTTCACAGGGATATTCATGGATTGTTTAACATCAGATTCACGTGGAACAGCCATCGTACGCTTAGCTCTCGTAAAACGTTGCAATTGTCCGCGTATAGTTGCTGCGTTTGGCGCGCCACGAGCAGACGCAAAAAGGTGTAGCTACGACGAAAGCGTTCGGTAGTGGGTATTGTTTCGTTTAAGGTGATAAAGTGACGCGATCGACGATGCATCCGCACTACGGTATTAAACGCGTACGAAAATAGACTCGTAGCAAGTAAAAAAAGCAAAAAAAGCGTAGCAAATAAATTCGACGCACCCTTATGCACTGATTTTAATTTACAACGGTGTTTCGGATTTTTGAAAGCACCGCGCTCGAGATCCGTGTGACAGAACTTGCGAAGTATCCAAAGTAGCGTGAGCACTTTTTCCGTAATTTCGAACAATATCGAGTTTTTCATCAAAAAAATTGTGAAAATGAAGAAAAGAAAGTGAAAATCCATCATTATTTCAGCGAACAAGAAATTCTTCGATGATTAATCATGACAAATTTGACTCGTGTACCTTCTGATTTTTATGTGTTGCTTTCGACCTGACTGAGCGTGCTAGAAATTATTTCTATACCTCGAGGTACAATGACTTGTTAAAAATTTATTATTTGATACTGTAATTCAATTCTAGCGGATCTGCAACTTCATTTTTTCGCTCGATTTTGAAGTTAAAAATAAATGAGTTACTCATACTTGTAACCATTATATACATACATACACATATATTGCATAATATAAAAGAATAAAAACGCACGTGGTTGGACATGTAATTAGGGGAATATTCAAAAATAAATTATAAGCTAAACATGAAAATATTCTTTAGAATAATACTTTTTGAAGCTATTTAGGTATTATAACCTCACACAAGTGCCATAAATTATATAGAATTAGACTTGCATATGCATTTAGAACAAAAATCATTTTTTCAGAAAATGCTGACAATTGTTGTTATTAATACATGAAAGTGTAAATATAATACCTTTTACTTTTATTCTAAAATGTATCGAACTATATCACTATCATGTGTATTCTCCTACATGCTGTATGTTTTAATCATCTCTTCATTAAATAAATGAAAATTGAATACATCAAAACATAAAATGAAAAGTATATTACATCTGAAAATCAAACATTTGGATTAACATTTGACTTTTAATATGTTACATGGGTAATATTTGAATTTATTGATATATATGAGACATATTCTTATAAGATTACGAATAGATATACAAAAACATATCTTTTTACTGCAACACATTATTTGTATCAATAAATATATCAATTACTTTTTCATAAGCAACCAACCGTAAGGGTAAAGGAAATATACTTTATTTGCATTTACTTTTACACTAGAATTTTCACAAGCGCAAGTACGATTCTTTAATTACTATTTTGTATCATCATCATTCGAAGATTTAGTTTCTTTAGCATGTTTAAATTATGTAAACCAAAGAGGAGAAAGGAAGTGTATTAATAAATAATATATAAAACAACTTTTAATACATGATAACCATAGTAATAAATAGAGAAACTCATTATTGTAAGTTACTCGGGTCTAACATTATGATATTTCTTTAACCTAAATGATATTTTATTAGAGGAAAGAAGAGATATCTCATTGTTCAAAGAATGTTGTTCTGAAACTCAAAAGTGTGTTATAAAAATAATTATAACCTAATGCTTCTATAAGGCATAAGCTACATCCACATAGTAGTTTATAATGACCTTGCATGGATATAGAAATGTCAGTGACTTAGATGAATAAAAAAAAATCTAATGAAGATATAGAAGAATATACATACCAATTTCCATCTGAAAAGAAGTTGAACGTTCTTGCAGCAGGGAATTTCGAGAAAAGTTGTCCAGAAGCAAGTGGTCGAGGTAAAATGTAGTTGATCGCGAGAAAAGTTGTTCTCTTCCACGAGGAGATAGGAGCGTCGGTGGATATTTCTTTCTTCGGAAAATTTCAATCGCAGTATCAGGCCTCGCGAGCGGAATTTCGCTGGGACAGAGAGACGAAATAGAGCCGGTAAAGCCAGCTGCACGGACGCGTACAGGCCGTCCTGCGAAGTCGTCGAAGCGAGGTTTGTCAGTGTTGCACGTTTCCAAACACTTCCCGGCCCTCGACGTTACGCAATATTCCACGTAAATACATAACACATTTTCCCGAGAGCTCCAGTGAAAATATTCGTCCTGCGGTACTCCTTTTACAAAGGAGTCACCTCGAGTACTCTACGCACTTCTTCACAATTATTTTTTTCGTCGTATCGGTCTTTTTTTCAGTTGTCTAACTGACTTTCTGCATAAAAGCTTCGGCTCCGTTGTTTTTTCACGACCAAAAAATCGACGAAGCCTTAACGGGCCGGTCGGTCTGGTCTCAACAGGAATTCTCACTATGCTTTCTTGGATCTCCCTTTCAAAACCATCGAAATCTTGTTGTATGAGTAAACAAACTTAGTAAAATGCACATTTTCGCGAGTACTTCAATGGATTACCGCACTTTTTAAAAAAAAAGGCAAATGCAAAAGGCATACTTGCACTCTCGAGGTACAAGGCAAACTATTGGATTTTGTATGGCAAACAAGGAACTGACTGGTCGTATAGCGGGATGAGGAAGGTGGAGGGGATCGCGCAGGACCGTATTCATCCACTAAGCGTCTCTGTTACCAACCACTCGGGTACCTCCTGCAAAGCGTACGTGTTACAAGACTCACGAGACTTTTCGTCGAACTTTCATTAATCGTGCATCGATTACACTTCAGTATATTTTTCACTATTATTACACAAAAGTATTCGACGTACTTTTAGTACGTCCGGAATCACTTGGAATGTAATTGCTACAAAAAATTGTCTCTCAACGTAATAACATGACAATATTACACGGACACGAGTTGTTTAAGAATCGTATTTTTATACGAACACTGTTTGACCACGCTTTCTAGTCGAACCCTAATAGTTTTTTCTTTCACAAAATTTTGGTTAACACGAGACTTAATTCACTTCTTGCTGGTGCTTCTTTTATCTCTTACATTATCGACATATTTTTAAACAAATATTGTCGTAATAACTCATGTGTTGTACGCGTAGTATGTTAATATTCCAGATAAAAAGTGTTTCTTACAAAACAGCTAATATCTATAGATATAAATACATTGAAAAAAGAGCATACGAATAGTCTCGAACAACATACCGCCAAAGTTTCATTCGGGTATGTCTGCACGATAATGAACTATTCGTAAGTCACATTAATAATTACGGAAACGTTAACAATCGTAAAAGATCGCACTTTGTGGGTATGTTCTATTTGCTGCAACACTATTGTAGTTCTTATAGCATATGGTATTTTAATTACGCCATACAAGACAATTTAACACAAACCAACGAAGTGTACATAATTTTGTATAAATTGGGATAATAGGCGCGAGGCATTTTATATGAATTATATAGTACGTGAAAAAAAAAAACATAGGGACCAGATAGCGTGATGTGTACAAAAATCTCCCATACAACACTATTTTCTAATGAGATGTTTTCATAATAATTTCATTCCTTTGGCTTCCGGTTCGAATACTTTCTTTTCAAGTTCGAACATCTTGATAAATTACACAAGAAACCTATTATGAAGTTTCTTCGGGAAATGTTGCATCGCGTCTCGATGAAATTGAAGAATTGAAAGGCGCCTAACGTGTCGAGAGTGGATACAGCCCTGAAAATTGTGGCGGCGAAGCCGCCAAGAGGCGCGCGCAGTCCACGAAATATCCAAGCGTTTCCCCGCGGCCGACATCTTCGCGCGGCCAACAGCTGTTCCGAAAGGCGAGCGAACTCCCCATCGTAATCTGGGTCATGGAAACTGCGCAAAATGGGTTGCACTTGCACCGAAATCGCGCATTTCTTCCAAAATCGGTGGATCGCCTCGAGAATTTCGTCTAATCCGATGGACTGAACTAGCACGCGATATTTTTCTATCCACACTAGAAAATGCCATTCGTAATATGCAAGCTACTGCGACCAGCCGTTGCATATCTGTCAACGTGCTTGACTGGTTCCCGACGAGAGAGCCGTGCGTCGATTGGCCGACGATTTTCGGACATCGACCTACGCGCGAGCCTCGAAACATGCTAATCACAGGAAACGAGTAACGATATTTCGTCAAAATACACCACGTGCACACGAGAAAAAATATTCAAATATATTTTATTTAAGATTCAATGCCGTAATGTTCTTTTAGTCGATCATTCGTTTCTCGTTAAATGTGGAAGAAGTTGTACACGGTCGGCCATCCGATGCGCATGTAAAACGTAATATCAGAATCAGAATCTATTGAATACGTATACGATACCACGTGATCGATTCGGTACTTCTTTAACCTTTAATATTTGTAAATTTGTAAGTTCTTTTCAGAATATTACTATCATGATTCTGCACGTGTAGTAATCAATACATGCGTAATTAAGGTTAAAGAAATATTTGACGAACAATAAATTGAAATGATGTATAAATCGAAACTAATCCTTCCATATCAGATCTTTAGCATGTTGAGTTAATTAATGAGGATTTTAATTCAGATTTTGTTATTCATGAAACTCTTTTTTATAATTTATGTATAAATGAAATAAAATTGAATTTAAAAAACCTGATTTTACATTTTTCTACATATTTTCATGCTATGTAAATAAATAATAAAATGATTTCTTTGATTAGAATGATTTTTTCAATGTATTAAAAAGCAATCAAGCAAAAATGATTACCTTATAAAATATGTAAATACTAAATACTAAATACTATATTATATATGTGCATATTGCATAAATATATGTTAGGTCTTTCAAAGGTCTGTTTTAACATTAAAATATTTGATGCAGATCAAAATGGTTCAATACAAAATCAAGGAAAAGAAAATAATATACATGAAGCAGTAATAATTCATGATTATTTATTGAAATAAAACTCCAGATTCATAATGTTTAAAAAAGTAATTGTAGGTGTGTCTGGTGGAGTTGATAGTGCTGTAGCAGCACTTCTTTTAAAAAACAAAGGTAAATGAGTTAATATATAAATCTAGTTAAGTTTAAGTTTCTTTTATTTAGTTAATAATTCAACATCTTTTCACTATTAAAGGATTTAATGTCACTGGAGTATTTATGAAAAATTGGGATATACCTAATGAAACAGGAGTATGTAAAGTTGAAGAGGATTATGAATATGCACAATGGGTGTGCAAAAAATTAAAAATTCCCCTTGTTGAAACCAATTTTGTAAAGGAATATTGGAATAATATTTTTAAGTATGTGTACTTATATGTATCTTTTCTTTAAAATGAAAATTTCACCTTTTCTACATTTACAGCTATATAACAGAAGAATATGAAATTGGACGTACACCAAATCCTGATATTTTGTGTAACAAACATATTAAATTTGACCATTTTTTTCATTTTGCTCGGTCTGAACTCCAAGCAGATGCTATTGCAACTGGACATTATGTTAAAACTAGTTTTGGTCCTTATCTTGAACATTTTAAACCAAATACAAGTAAGTAAAACAGACTGCATGATATTGATACTTTGTGTATAATCTGTAACACTATTTGATATGCTTTTCAGATGTTCAGTTACTTAAAGCACAAGATGAAGGAAAAGATCAGACATTCTTTTTGTGTCAGGTACCTCAGGAAGCATTACGATACTCTATGTTTCCTCTTGGTGGGTATTTGAAGAGTAATGTTAAACAAATTGCTGAAGAGGCTGGATTGAATTTAGTTGCTCAAAAGAAGGAAAGTATGGGAATATGTTTCATAGGAAAACGAAATTTTCAGAACTTTATATCTGAGGTATAATCTAATAACGTACTGAGTGCTATAAGCCCGATCGCGTTTTAATTATCTCATAATATTTACAGTATATACCTGATAAATCCGGAGATTTTATAGACATGGAAAGTGGTCAAGTGGTAGGAAAGCATACGGGTTTTCACCATTGGACTGTAGGCCAAAAGGTTAAACTTCAAAGCTTTCCAAACGCATACTATTTATTCAAAAAAGATACTACAACAAATAATATGCTTGTAGTATGTATACTCATTATGCACTTACTACTTATTTTACTAGAAAAAAAATATTTTTATCTATCATGTTATTAGGTAGTAGGAACAAATCACCCGGCATTGTATTCAGATATGGTGAAAACGGAAACTCCTCATTGGATATCGGCAGAACCAGCCGAACTTAATGGCTATTCTAGGACGTTAATTTGTGATTTTCGTTTTCAACATAGAGATCCTGTAATACCTTGTACAGTTTACAAAACTTTAAATAATCAATTAATAATCCTACTTAGTCAGCCTTTAAGAGCGATCACAGAAGGACAGGTATAACTTTACAATTTTCTTTTGTTTTTATTTCAGCAATTGTACTATAGCCTTTGGCAGCAAATAATATTTATTGTAATTTTTTTAGTTTGCTGTTCTATATCGTGGAGAAGAATGTTTAGGCAGTGCCATAATTTCATTCACAGGGCCATCATATTTCTCATTAAACGAAAAAGTCAAAATGGATCATTACTACAACTATGGCGAAAACATGAAAGCACAACAGGTATGCAGTGTATGATATGCTGACATATCGCGTATTGTAAATGAACAAAAAATAAACTATTCTTTAGTAGAAAGCAATTTTTATTTCTTACATTTTCCTTTCTCTATATCGTTACGTAATTGGCAAATAATTATTGATACTTAAAAAAAAAACGATCAGCTTTGAAAATAATTTGAAATTAGCTGTACAACAGCATTTACCATTGTTGGAGAATCAGTGGTTAGATCGCTTGGTTGTTGAAAACATGTAAAAATAATCATTTTAGTGATTTAATTATCACACTAAAATCTTCCTTTAAAGTTCCGTACATCAAAGTCTGCGAGCAAAAATGATGACCCCTGAAGAAAATGAAATTTATGGCTGCAACATAGTATATTGGAATATTTTATCCAATCATGAAGATTGCATTAACAGAAAAAAGCCTCAAGTCAACAGTAAGTTAGTCCACATACAACGGAGGAACAAAAGATTTACCATATTCGTTACTCTGTCGTAATCTATAACAACATTTTATCATAACTTTCAATCATTTTTTAATCCAGCTATCAAGAATCTTTCCTAATTATGATAACATGTAGATTACTCATTATTTTACTTTATCTTCAAACCATTTATACACTTTTGTTTCTTGTTTTAGTTTTATCAGTACTGACTGATAGCATCAATTTCTTTAGAAGACGCATATGGTGCGTCAGCTATTTCATCATTTGGAAGCATAATACATATACACATGGTGCGTCGTCCGCTATGTTCATCACGTCAAGCGAGTTCTTGAATATCCTCGCGGAAAGGGATCTGAAACACGTTGCATTGGGAACTTGGCAATTGAGTGTGCGTGCAGGAGGGTGGAAAGATCGGAAGTAAAGCGAGGACGATTACTCGTTCGCCTTTTGAAGTTCCTATATACGTTCGTCTTGAAATGTCAATCGGTGCTGGCGATGAGAAAAGACTTAATAACAGCCGGGTCACGTGTAGAATGTAAAACAGCGCGACGCGTTATTGAACGATAACTGCAAGTTATTAGGGTCGATTGACGAGTAACTGGACGTAAGGAGCGCGTAAAATGGCTCTCGCGGTGTGCGTGCACGTACAGAGCTCCGCCTCGATTGTTGTTGCCATCGCCATTGGCGTTGACCGTCGACGTTACATATGGAAATTACTCCCGTACAAATGTCTCGCTGGGACTAATTTGACCGTACGCGCAATGTTACATTAACATTCGTGCGGAGATCGGAGCCGTACAATAGCTTCAGTCTGTTCTCTTCTTCACGGGCGCGCAGTGTCACCGTTCCTAATCGGTGTACCGATCCCTCTTCCCGGTTCGTTCTTCTACAGATTTCATATATCTTTTTGAGTGTTCCTAGCTCGAAGCAGAGTCGAGCGATGTAAAATTACACAGAGACTCGCGATCAGTGAGTTAGGAGGGTTCGATCTTTCCCACTCGTTTTATTCTCGTGTAATTTGTGATCGTACCGTCTGTGTTGCGATGAAGTAGTAACAAGACCGGACTGACCGAACGGGGTGGGTCTTGATTTTCAGAAAAGATGAGGGGTGCCATGGATCAGTACAACGACGACGACCTCTTCAGCGGTGGCCCTTGCCCTTCGTGTCGATTGGCCATCAACAAAGAGACCGGTCGACTGAAGTTCGTAAGACGTTTCAGAATGATATGTATACGAAGTGATAGTCGATGAAATTTTGTTGGGACCACAGGTGGTGCATGGGTGGGAACGACACTTGCCGCTTTCGCGTCAAGCTGATGCTCTTGATCCCGGCCGTGTTGCTGCCGATCACTATCATCTTTATCGCTCTATCGCGATCCCAGGTGATCGGCAAGACTCCTTATCATCGCACTTATTTGATCCACGCGACTAGAAGACAGGACGAGAGGACCGAGGAAACTTTTCCGCGTAAGTCTCTATTCAACGACAGGCTCGTAAAGTGAACTTGATATTAACGACGTCCGGTTCGTTGGCTGCTCGTGAAGATCTGAATGGCGGAGTAAAGTGCCATCCTCGTGCCGTGATTTATTCATTGTTACCGGAGAAAATATTTCAAAGACGTTAGCTGGATTTGCATTTTTGTTTCCTACGTTATTAGCGCCGAAAATAATTGGTACCCCAACATTTTAGCTCTCGTATCAAAACTTTCAGCAGTAATCCATCCATCTGTAAGATTCCATCGAGTTACTTATACGAATCATCTTCGCAGAGACCAGCAGCAGAGAGGCAGAGCGAGCCGGTGAAGAAGAGGAAGAAGACCGAATTCTAGTACCTGGAATGAAAACAAGTTACGTGCCGGTGGAAACGCTACTTCCACCGCGGCAGCTGCAACGACGCAAGAGGGAACTGGATGGGGTACTTTATCCACAAGCAAATTCAAAGCGAACGCGCTCTAGTTAACCGATATCGTCTTCGATTCATTATTCTTATCCTCGTTCACCTCCTATCTGTTCTCATCAAAACACTCGCCTCCTTTTCGAGTCTGCATGCTTACCACCGGCTGAATAACATTCCCGAAGAGAGAACGAAATATCGTTTTCAGGACAACCGAGTATCCTCGTCCTCCAGGATATTATATCGAAATCGACGCGACAGCAGCAACGAAGACCGAGAAATCGCGAGGGGTTGTCGCAGGAACGAACACGTGTGAGCGGCGATTAGAGTTGTTTTTTTATTGTACAAGTTGAGGATGAGCGTGTATAAAGAGAAAACGACTGATTAATATTCTATAGTCATTTTAGAATTCCTTTGTATTTCTAACGAACGTGTTCTTAAATGGGAATATTGAAAAACTATTACAGAAGAAAAAGAGCATCTTCAACCATCGACTATCGTGCGCAGCAACGTTAATTAGCGTTAATCAACATTAAATTAGCGTTACTGGTGTACTGTTTTAGTATCGATCGTCTCACTGCCAATCCTCTCGTTTCGCGCAAGGGCAATTAAATTTGTGTCTTCTCGAGGCATTTCTTGAGATGAAGAAAACAACACCCTTTAATTTAATAATTAAATTAAATATTGGAAAACTCATTGGGATATCTCATGCAGATACGGTCAACAGACTACAATGTCGAGAAGACGAACGATCAGGATCCTGAAGAAGATTTAGATAACTTTCTGGACGATTATTACCCTGAAGAGGATGCTGATGAGATCAAAGAAAATTCCGAGATACAGAACAACTATTATCAAGAGTTAGTAATGAATATCAAATTTTTATAAAATGTTACAATGATTATAATAATGTAAATATAATTTAATTAAGATACGACACTCGCAAAAAAGAAGAACCGCACTCGAAATTTCATGGAAAATACGACGACATCGAGGACCGTTCTCAGGATGAATCAGACGAGGGTGAACAAGGTGGTAGACATTCGATTTCCGTCGACGATTCCGACACTGGTTTGCCGATCACCGATGAACAATGGAAGGACGACACCAGTACTGATTTTCACGCGTTCTGGAAGGGTGAAGGGAACGCATGGGCCATCAGGAAGGCTCAAGGTACACTTGCCACGTAGTCCCTCTAGTAGCTTTGCGTAATTTCTGCTTATACGCTTTTTAAGAAACAGATGTTCGCCGCAGCAAAAATCATGCTGAAGTACATGGACAAGAGCGCCGATCCCTGCGAGGACTTCTATCAATATGCCTGTGGAAATTGGGCAAGGCATAATCCTATACCAAAAGACAAAGCAGCCTACGACACGTTTGAGATGATCCGAGAATCCTTGGACACTGTGCTGAAAGAACTACTTGAAGATCCGATAATCAGAGGGATGGAATTAAACACAGAAGATGCGACAGTGAAAGCTAAATATCTTTTCCAAAGTTGCATGAATTACGGTAAATTCTCTTGATGTATTGCTCAATTGGCGATACAAAGTTTATTGTACTCGATGCCGAGGTTTAACGCGTGAAATGTGGCTAGAGATCTTGGAGCAACGCATGGAACGGCCTCTTATACAGCTCTTGGATGAACTCGGTGGATGGCCTATCTTGAGACCAAATTGGGATCCAGAGAAATTTGACTGGCTACTATTGGTCGCGCAATTACGACTCTATAACAATGATATTCTTATTTCCGAGTGGGTTGCACCGGATATTAAGAACAGCGATCAATATGTCATACAGGTAGCCTTGTGAATCCTCTATAGCGACTTGAGCTTCACGAGTGCGAAATTAAAATTGCGTTACTCTAACAAGGGGAACTACCCAAGTGTTACACTCACTTATTAATGAAACTTTGCCAGCTTGTAGAATGCGTCAAGCTGGACGCATCTATACCCACTTTTGGGGGCAGACGGCAAATTGTACAAAAGATATTAACAATTGCAATTAGTTACTCCTTACATTCTGAGGTATAACAAACTTACACCTACAACTCGCAATGTACAGATCTACGATTCGAATCCTTGGTTTCCAACATTTTTTTTTTCTTTTAATGATAAATTGTCTCTTTTTCAATAATTATCGCCTAAAAAAAAAAAAAAAAAAAAAAAAAAAAAACACGTGAACCCAGGATTTGAACCGAGGACCTTTGCATTATGAGTCATGTACTTAACCACGGAGCCGATCTGTGACTTACAATTTAAAGGTCCATGGATCAAACCCTTGGTTCCCAAAAAACTTATTTTTTTCATGTAGACAATTTTTATGTAATAGTTATTCAAAGAGAGACAAATTATCATTAAAAAAGAAAAAGAAATGTTGAGAATCAAGGATTTGAACAGTGGATCTCTAGATTGCGAGTTGTATGTGTGAGTCTGTCATACTTCTCAATATAAGTAGTAACTAACTTTAATTATTAATATTTTTTAAACAATTAGTCGCAAAGTTTTATTAATAAGTGAGTGTAACACTTGGGTAGTTCTCCTTATAAGTTTAGTTATTCCTTAATCGCTCTATTATGGTTTCTTTGTTCAGTCTCTTCGGTTTAAAAATAGTTCTCCTAATGATTAAATGATTGCAGTTTGATCAAACGTCCCTGGGCCTTCCTACGAGAGATTATTTTCTTCAACCATCGAACACGATCTATCTGAAAGCCTACAAGAATTATTTAATTAAGATTGCGACATTGTTGGGTGCATCCTTGAAGAACGCCACCGTTGATGCTGATGAATTGATCGAATTCGAAACGAAACTAGCCAAGGTATGCGTTTCATATTCTGCCATTATAGTTACTGTAGTTCTCCGATTATTGATTTGTGTTTTGCAGATCACCTCTACTCCCGATGAAAGAAGAAACGTTTCAGAGTTGTATCAGAGAATGAGCATCGGGGAACTGAGAACTCTAGTGCCACAAATCAATTGGCATAGATATTTGACAATCGTTTTAGCTCGTCCTACAAATGTTTCTGAACCTGTTGTTGTCTATGCGCTTCAGTATATACAGGATTTGGTGAATTTGTTGTCAAAGACCAGTCCGAGGTATATTCTTTAATCCTTAGTTAAAAATTTTTACCTACCCTTAGCAATTTGGTGAAATGGTATTTTGTTCAGAACCGTGGCGAATTATCTTCTTTGGCGATTCGTGAGGCACAGAGTGAACAATCTGGACGATCGATTTCAAGAAGCTAAACAGAAATTTTATTACATTCTCTTTGGTAGAGAGCAAGCACCGTCGAGATGGAAAAATTGTGTGGCACAGGTGAATTCTAATATGGGCATGGCTGTGGGCTCCATGTTTGTGAAGAAGTATTTTGATGAAAAAAGCAAAAATGATGTAAGAACCTTTTTCTTATTATTTGTGATATTTAATATATTAAGATACCATGTCTTTTCCACACAGACATTATCCATGACCCGAGAAATACAACGATCGTTCAGAGAGCTCCTCAATCAGACCTCCTGGATCGACGACGAAACAAAAGAATTGGCCACCGAGAAAGTAAACGCGATGCTGTTGAGGATCGGTTACCCTGACTTCATTTTACAGCCCGAATTGTTAAACGAGCGTTACAAGGATGTAAGATTCAGAGTTGACACTGTCGGAGATTAGATAATTTGATCATCGTGTAAACGTATTTAATTTGCGTCGATCCTTCAGGTCGTGATCCGTCCAGACAAGTATTTTGAGAATACATTAAACATCTTGCAACATTTGACCAGAGTCGAACAGGATAGACTGGGTAGTCCTGTTAATAAAACCCTTTGGAACACCGCGCCAGCAGTTGTGAATGCGTATTACAGTCGCAGTAAAAATAGGATAAGTTAGTCTCCATTTTCTCTGTACGAAATTGGATTCTTTTACTAATTGCCAAATTACTTTCCACCTTCAGTGTTCCCAGCCGGCATACTACAGCCGCCATTTTATCACAGATACTTTCCACGGAGCTTAAATTACGGCGGGATCGGTGTCGTGATCGGCCACGAAATCACTCATGGCTTCGACGATAAGGGTCGGCTGTTCGATAAGGATGGTAATCTACATAGATGGTGGAAAGACGAAGCTATTTATGGCTTTCACGAACGAGCACAATGTCTTATCGGTAACAGGCCCGTCCTGTGTCCCTTAACTTCTCTCCTTGAACTTTTGTTCGCCAGTTTGAAAACTATTTAATCTTTCAGACCAGTATAGTCATTATACGGTGAGCGAGGTTGGAATGCAGATAGATGGTATCAACACTCAAGGCGAAAATATTGCCGATAATGGCGGCATCAAACAGGCTTTTAGGGTAAGAATTTTTCATTCTCTGCAACCTTTCGTTGCATCGCGTTACAAATATTGTCAATTATTTGCTTTCAAATGAATTTAATAAATTTGATGAATTCGCCAGGCTTATGAAAGATGGATGCGCGTAAACGGGGACGTCGACGAGACTTTGCCCGGTATGAACGCAACCGGAAAGCAATTATTCTTTCTGAACTTCGCCCAGGTGTGGTGTGGTTCCATGAGACCGGAAGCAACCAGGAACAAATTGAAAACCGCAGTGCATTCACCCGGAAAGTTTCGCGTGGTCGGTACTCTGTCGAATTCGGAAGACTTTGCTGAAGTATTTAATTGTCCGCTCGGTGCGCCTATGAATCCAGTTAACAAATGCTCGGTTTGGTGATCTGTGGACGCTGCTTATGTCGACAAGTTTATCGAATGAATCCTCGTGGTGAATCAGAGCGACGCGATAATGAAGAAATTGCTATCTTGTTGGCTGATCAATGGCCACGATGGAAGATGCAACGATTGGAAATCAATCTTTATACATAATATTATGCTTGTAATCGTAGTTCATGTTGTAGAGCATCAAGCTTTGCGTTTGATCTTCGAGATGTTTTTAATCCCCGGATGGCGGACCATAAATTATTCGAAAACTGTTTTCCTGTGGAGAAGCCAAGCACACCCAGATCCTTACATCAATGGGTATGGGTCATAATTCAATCCGCATCCAATGGCTAATTGATTCGGAACGCGATACGAACAACGAACCAAGGAAAGAATGCAAATAATAATTGTCGTATGGACGATTAGCAGCCATGCAACGTAATTGTAATTAGAAGTACAACTCGCGCTAACAAAATACGCTGTAATAAAATAATTTCGTTTGCTCTATGAGCCTCGTAGATTGCCGAAACAGCTGCGCTGTTTTTGCATTGAAATTGTAATGAAAAAAGAAAGTCAGAGACAAATAATAATTTCAGACAGTGATAAAAATCTTTACAATCTATTTCCCTGTATATCCACACACTACTACATGTATTGAATTTTTTCGTCGTTCTATTAGTTTACGCTTCGTGTATCGTTAGCCTGATCTCGAGGGATTAACCTCGTGATCATTCGTTACATCCACGTGTAATCGTACACATACTATGGATATAAACGTTCACGTTACATTCGCAAATGTTCGAAATAAGAAACGGAGGAAAAGATCGTTAACATTCAACGGTCTCGTGATTTTCCCACGAAACATGCACACACGCACACACCATACGAAATCGTTTATTGAGTAAATAACTGTGCCATAGTTTTCCACGTTATTTGTTTTCCTTCTTTTACAAATCGTCTCGCCATTACAATTGAATAGAGTAATAAAATCGTTGAATACCGCGACGCAGCGTGTCGCATTTACGATTCGTATGAAAATCGTACACGATTAAAAAAAGAAGTAATGGTTTGCAAACGTTTCTCGCAAAGGGTAAAAAATACAAGGAATGAACTATCTGTTTGTAAATGCGATATCGATTGACTATCTTGCCGCGTTGTACTATGATACCTCTAAATGACATTAAAATACTTCAGTCAGAAGAAACAGCTCTCGAGCAAGCCTCGACGTATAATAATTTCATTCTTATTCAATCGTCGAGCTTTCGATCGGTTTCTTTTTATTCTTCAACGAGGAAGAGACTTGCACACGATTCATCGGCACGCACGCTCGCATAGAATCGGGGCAGAAAGTTTTTTTTTTTTACGAATTTATACAACCCTATCTTTATTACAGTTTATTTACGTATTGCCTTCTTTTTGTATCGATTAATTGATTGAAATAGCATGAAAAAATAAGAAATCGTACGTACAACGAAGTCCTTCAATTACTTAGTATAAAGCAGACAAATCTGTGTGCGAATAATTATTGTAAAATTATTGTTTCGTGAATCGACAATTTGGATGAGAAATTCGATGAAAAATATCTTAATAACTTGTCCGTATACAAGTATGCTTCATACTAATTAATTTTTTTTCTTCATTCATAGCAAGGGTTTAAACGATTGGTTACAAGAGAAGTATTTGCAGTCGTGTACGTTGTACTAACAAATCAGGAATTTGTTTCTTGCGAATATCATCTTTACCTTAGCGTTTTTAATCGGTATACGCAAAATCGTTAGTTTCAACTTTACATATTTGATGCTCACATACCCGTATAATTAAAAGTACAGTGTACAATACTGTAACACGTTTGTCATTCATGAAAATTTCAAAGTTACACAAGCGAACGAAATACAAAAGTCGTCTAGATTAATTCCATTTTTTCAGGAGAACATATGAAAAATATACATATCATCGCAAGGAACAATAAAAGATATCCTTGCGTACGTTCGAAGGCGAAGAAACAAGAGTAGCTATAATTTTATAAAACAATTCGCGTATCGAGTTAACAATATTCTCAATCTTGCATGCACCCTGCGTTAAAGAAAACACGCTTCACCCGGTATCATTTTTCAATTGGGATCGCGTTATAAACATATATAATTCTCGTGTGTGATATTTGAAATACCACGGTAGAAATTCGATGACCTTAATTCTATTTTATGTATAACCGTTACAAATTATACGAGAGGTTGAATCCTTTTTTTATCCTCTATGACGCTTTATCAAAATTGGCCTATTAAATATATATATTTATATATATGTTTCGCCAGTGCTACTTCCGTCCATCTAATCAAGGTCAAGTGAAAATTATACCTTAATTTCCTTCTTCCCAACTCCTCTATTACCACCGTTACGTATACGTAGTGCGCTAACGAGCGTCTTCACTTGTGCAGAAACTGGTACTCCAAAATGTCCTCTTCATCTGGAAAATAAAAAAGAAACGGGTCCTTATGTTTTAGTTTGAAAAGTGAATCTTATTTGGTAATTGCCTAAAAGGACACACTATATGTATACAGGATCACAGAAAAGTAGTTTATTATACTTTTAAGGTGCAATGTAGACTTGCATTAGTGCCCTTTTGATTTTTGGAGAACTATTTTAGTGTACATTGTACCAAAAGTGTAAATCTCTGTACCAATGTTCCCTGAGACCTCTGTTTTCTTGTCACCCTGTATATACATCTGTAGGAATGATTTCAAATTGACTAATAAAAATTGTCAAGATAAAAGAGGATTTATAGCGTGATACGGGTAACGAAACTACGTGTTTGCCTTGTATAAGATTTATGCAACAGCATTACAAACTCTATCGACAATATACATACGAGACAGGTGTTCTCACTACTATATAGATTCGTGTAGACGCATTCGCTGATTTTGAAACATACTCAGATGCTGGTACGATGCTGCAGTTACTCGAAACAAGCACTACAGTGGCAGAAAAAAAGAAAGGGGAAGAGTTTCAAGACAAATTCGAGGATGCATTTCATCAAGTTGATCTTAAGTATAACGTAGACAAGAATGTTTTACTTGAAATTGAAAGAGTATATACTTCTCCAAACGCAACATGAAGCAAGAAGTTATCTGAATGAAGAACAGGTCTGTAGTGTATAATCTAGGTTGATAATGGATATTAATTAAACACAGGTAATTACTCTAGAACGTTTCAAATCGGATGGAATCAAAATTTCATGGTCGTTTAGATGAACAGAAGAAGGAGAGCTCCTGAAGTGATATTCTCAAATTATGATTTTTTGAATATTGATAGATCATCTAATAAATCTTCCTTCTTTCAAATTCGTTCCTTGTAAAGATATCACAACAGCAACTCTCCTTGTAAGTGGACGATGGACATTAATTGAATAGATATATTATATCCTCTAATATTATAAATCTAAAAATGAAAAAAAAAAAAGTTAATGGTCATTTAAAAGAATTGGAATTATCGTAGTATTTAGTCTAAGCTGATAGTGGATGTTAATTAAATACAAAAAATATTCTCTAATGTATCGGATTGAAAGAAAGAAAAGGAATGAATCAGTCGCGGTGACTAAATAAAATACACTCACAGATATTGCCTCTGCTATTGTTGTCCAAATCGCTAGTACAAGTTTCCTCGTGCATACGCCGTTCTGCGTCGACCGTCAGCGCAGCACAAGGCACAAAAATGACCCGATTACGTCTCTGACATTGATGTAATCCACATAACGCGCAACTTAAGTTGCAAAGGGAATTGAGTCGTTTGTTATGTTATGACAGAAAGCAGCAAGTCCTTTTTTTTTTTAGAGCGGCACAATAAATAGAAAATAAAATGAACGAAATTTCTTTAGTATGTCTGCGAGCCACAAAATTTGTACATGTATATCACTTCCTCCTTTCTTTTGTCCTCCTTCTTGACTAACGTTTCTAGCTTTAACGAAACTTCGTCGTTTGAACAATTTTGCGTTTCTCAGACATACTGTACAGCCTGTCTGCAACATAAAATATATGTATATATTTTACAGAATAATTATATAATAGTTGGTATCATAAGTTTTGCGTTAATTACCCTCTTAATTATCGAATTACATAATCGGTGGTGAAATGAAAAACACTCGTTGAAATGAATGATTGAACGACAGTGTGCAATTTTCCAATGAAACTTTTTATTTCGTTATAAGGACAAACTTTCTTTATCACCTATCTGTTTACCATATTGATGATTATAAAATGCCAAGGAAAAGATTTAGTTTTCATTTTGGAAAATTGCACAAAAGTTTCAAACATGGTTCCATGTTACACATATAAAAATGCTATTAATAATATTCTTTATACGCTTGATAAATATTTAGAAAGTAATGGAAATGATCGTTCGTGTAAATAAAAAAAGGAAAAACGCGAAACGTTCGAAAGAATTATACCACATTTCAGATAGTCTTACAATTTAATGACGCGAATGCACTTTTAGAATGCAAATATTTTCTAGCGGCCTTTTTTTTTAAAAGAAAAAAAGGGCACGTTATTTCGATATGCTAAATAAAAATTTACATAATAATAACGCAATGGCAAGACGCAATTAAATGTTACAAAGATTGTTGAAATTAAATAAGCTTGTGTATGTGAGATGCGGAAGATAATTCGTATTATAGATAAGATGACATGAATGAAACATAAACAATTAAGAAATGCATACACCTGGAAAGCACGTATATACATGATGTTTCAAAAATATTGTACACAGTGAAAATTACAAATTCTTCAGATGAAAGCAAATCAAAAAGTGCTTTATTATTTTGAAATCTGCATTTAACACATTGACGTGTTAAAATGAGGGCTGCATATTACAAAACGATAAAGCACTTTGATTTGCTTTAGTACGAAGAATCTGGAATTTTCAAGATGTTCAATCATGTTGAAACACTTAGTATATGTATAAATTATATGTCGCAGTTTGCTTTTTTGTTCAATACTTCCTAACACTGATAAGATGGCACATTTAATATGAGCATAATTCGTTCTATTTACATATTGTCGAACCTGTGATGCAATACCACATAACATAATTGTAAACAATCTCTTTCATTACCAAATAATAACTTGAATTAGTAGGAATACAATGAAAAATTCGTCCTTTACGCATGAACCATATTATTTAAATGATTCACCAATAATTGCCCAAATATACAATAACATACTTTTTATTGCATATTTTCTTTGTACATATGTATATATATAATATTTTTGTTTTCGTTTATAGCAGATTAGAAAGTGCGTTTCTAAAAAGCAATAATTAGTGAATCGTTTAATATTTCGACACAATATCCTCTCGATTTTTAAAGAAATAGCTGCCCCATTGTCGTAGACAATCCTAGAACGCAAGCAATGGAAAAATATTAATAAAAATACGTACCTTTTCGTATAAAATAATTATAATTTACATGCATTACATAGCGAATTGTTGTAATAGTTTATTACTTTAATTCGTCGACATAAACTGTGTGTTATTTACATGACCATGCTTGTGCTCTACTTCTTGTGCGATCGTGCTTTACATAAACAATTACAACGTAATATATTTATCATAAAGCGTGCATTATAGTGTATATATATAATAATGTAATTATCATTATTAATTATTGATATTAAATACTGAGTTCCCCGTACAATAATATAACTGTACCAGTCACAATTTTTTTAAACGTATGCTAAATTTCAACACAGCAGTTGCATATCTCATGCAAAAAGTAGTAGTTTCATTTATTATAAATGAAAGTGTAATTATACGATTCTATTTGAAATTTGTTTAAATGTACGACTTTGCATAAAACAATTACATCGGATATGGATTTCACGATTATTTTAAAATGAAAATTTCGTATTGATAAAATAATAATAAAAGTGAACTGCTACAAAGAGCTAATGGATTTAAATAACATTATACATTATCGTTATAGTATAAAGATACCTTCCTCATCTTATTATACTGATGCAACATTTCTGAACTGTATTAGTAAATATATATGTACACGTTACATGCAAATATTTTCACGAATACGAAATACATTTAATTAAAAAACGAACTTTAATCACGTTACTGTTGTCAAGTGCAATACCGAACAAAGTAGATTTCCCTAGGAAAAATGATGTTACAGGGGAAACATGAATTCTACAAATTCTAATTTTGACGATATTAATATTAAAATTTTTAAAAAAATATATAACTTTTTATTATTTATCTCGGGAACGCCTATGGGTATGAATGGATGCCGGGAATCACGGGAGATCTATTGGGAAGGCCAGGAACCTGGGGAATCTACTTTGCTCGATACTGTATATAATACAAAGTGGAATGCAAAGTTGAATCGACATGTATAAACAAATTAATCAAATCTCTATTGTCAATTATATAAACCTGAAACAACAAGTTGTAAAAGGCTGTGAATAAATACTTTGAAATATTGATTACGAACGGCAGAAGACATGCATTATCAACAATTTAATATTCGTGTTAATGGAAAGAAAATTGTAACAGTAATATTAAGGGTAGAATGAAGAGAATAATCTAATATTCACGTGAACTTGCAAAATTGTCACATAAAATGTTTCGAAGTATTCATTCAAGTGTTGAATTTATATGTTTGCTTTCTTTTCTGCTCAAATTTATAACTCATCTATTTACAACACCGGCATCTACATAACATCAACAAAGAATTCACAAGGATTTCCCATCGCAATGCGAAATGACTGTCTACTACCAGATAAGTCTTGTTGATTTTGTTGATTTCCTGAACCAGTTCCTGTCTGCACAGACTGTTCAGAACCACTGGAACGACTGCGACTACCGTTCGACCTCTTTCCGTTTGAACCGTTCCCATTTCCGGAATTCTTACTTGGCATTGTTGGCACTGATGGAATATGCAATTCGGATTCAGACGCTGAAGAACAGGATTTCAAATCGTGAATAGGTTCTTTGCAAATGTGTTCACTACCTGCGCTACTGCCTCCTGATAAAATACGATATAATTTTGATAAATATAATTAACATTTATCAATATAATTGTTATGTAATTAGATGACTCACCTGAACCACTGTGAACACTTTCTTCGCGATGATAACCATACACAGTCGGTTCGTTAGTGAAGTTAAACGGCATCGGGCTGTAACCGGTCGCGGAATGAGGCGCATATGTTCCTGAATAAGGCATGTCCCAGGCATTCGGTGGAGGTAATGGTCCGACAGTATCGCAATCTAGTTTCATGCTACTCATAGCTGAACATAAATCACCGAATATATAGTAACATTGTTCAGAAAATGTTATTTTGTTCACTGTATGCCTAATGAAACCAGCTTTCAGCATAAGAGAAGCGTATTTTCTTGCATCGCGACGGTCAATGAATCCTTCCACGTGAGTATGAAGCCAGTCCACTACATCTGCTCCGATAAATGCATTTGGTATTGTTATTTTAAGCCACATACGATCACGAATTTCCAACCCTGAGTCAGGCCGAGCCATTGCTCGTACTACTGTCGGCATATCAGTGTTCACCGTAAGGTGAAGTTCCTCCAATGGTCCTAATGAAAATATCACTTACTTAGCGTTTGTGTCAAGTTACGATACGTCTTTCTAAAACGTAAGAACTTACGTTCTGTGTCTGGCAAGGTACTTGCAAGACTACTCGATGTCGATGTTAAGGTCGTAGCACTTGGAGGACGCGGAGGAAAACCTTCACCCCTTATAGCAGCTGTGTGTGCCACCCAAGCACCAGGATCTATAGGCCGTACAGGTTCTGTACGCGGTATTGTGAAATAACCTTTTGGATTAGGATCCCAGCACTTTGCAACAACTAATTTGATTGGTCTAAAAGTTGTGTTTACGGTTAAAACAAGGTGTTCAGCGAATTTTTTTATTTATCACAAATTATTTTAAACATACCCTGGTTTTTGAACTACCTCGCGTAATACTTTAACCGCTTCGTCATTAGACATATTCTCAAAGTTAATATCGTTTACTTGGAGAATCATGTCACCAGGTTCTATTCGACCGTCTATAGCAACTGCCCCCCTATACATAATTAAAATTTGTTATATGAAGTTTTTATTGAGGAATTTATTTTATCAAATACTCCGTTCTAATAGTTCGTTATACAGAGCAGTTTGTACAATACATGCATACCCCTTCATTATGGAACCAACATAGATTCCCCCATCTCCACCTTTATTGCTTTGACCAACAATACTAATTCCAAGGAAGTTAACAGTATCCATATTTAATGAGACTGTGATAATATTTAAAGACATTGTGCTGTCTGTGATGCTGCTGAACGATGATGTTCGAGACATAGGTGGTAATCTATGACGCCTTCTTCTTTGCGGTCGACGCCGATCTAATGTTGAAATATAAAAATTTATTCGTCCATTTAAACTTCCCTTTTCTTTTACCAAAAATATTTACCTAAAGTAGCTCTGTCAACTGTGCTACTCATGTTGGTGTGTCTGCCCGTTGTTGATGTTATACGGCTACTTGCATCGTCATCCGATTCTAAAAAGGTTGTTGTCTCTAAATCTGAACTTAAAATAGAAGCAGTCTCATAACCATGGCCTGATCTATGTTTCGAGTGACCGTTTATACGAAGCCCTAAATCAATAAATCAATAAATAATAAAAGCTTCCTATAGGTATTATTTTTCATATAGACACCATTGGAAATACAGTTTCTAGTGATTAGAAACATGTTAATGTAATTAATAACATACCATTATATTTGTTATATTTTTCATATTTATCTGAATGATGTCTTGAACTTTTATGTAAATGATGCCCTTGCTGACTGCTTATCATACTTTCAGTTTCAGTCAAAGTGTCATCATGTGAAAGTGGTGGTGGACCACGATTTGTGTGACCTGGTGTCACATGATCAACACGATCATGCTTTGCTTCACTGTGTGCCACTGAATCAGTGCATTGTGAAGCACCATCAGACACATTGCTACCTTCAGCAGACACCAACTATCAATAAATAAATTCATTTTTTAATTAGGATTTGTATTTTCATTTTAATTCAAGTTCTCAAGAAAAAAACTATGAGAGTAACATATGGTATCAAACTCATTAAAATAAATCTTAAATTACTTTCTACCTTTATCCTATGTTAAATGATACATGCTTTCAGACTTAAAGTTTTGTGGATACATAAATAATCAGAAAACTTATATAAATAATGTAATTTTAAAAAAACATTGTTGTTGAATTTGATATTTTAATATTTCAACAACTGTTTATTTTATAATCTATTCATGCTTATCATAATTCTTCTGATGACTACTAATGATTATTTAGAATTTTTTCAAGAATCTCACCCAAGAAACAACCCGTCCATTGAAACAGGGAAGGTGAGCATCATCATCTACAATTTCTTCCTTCACCACACTGTTAAGAAAGAATAAAAATAATGTTAAATTATTATACCTAATTTGAAATTAAACAAAAATTTAAGGGTGTAAATAATATTAAGAATATACATATGAATGTAAATATAATAGTAAAAAAAATTTATGAATAACATAATTAAATATTGTTTATAGAAAGAAGCATTAAATTTTTTTAGAGGAAGAAATCTGATGTAATTCAAATAAGCTGTCAAAAACAAGCGGCGGATAAGAAATAATTATCAAATAATAACTCTATCACGAAAGCGGATACTGTTTAAATCGTAGGGCATTGACTCGGCTCGAAGATGAAAGATAATGTCTCGGGGCAGTGACAGTAGCCGATCGTACTCCAAAAGTAATATAAACGTAGAATTCGAAAGATATGCCTATCGATACGATGCTTACCCAAAATCATCGTCCATTGATTTGAAGAAATACTTATAATTCGGCCGATTCAAGACATTTTTAAAGTCGGCAAGAGTGACCCTTTCCGGTGAGATAGTGAGCTTCACCAGGTAAGGGGTTTCCTCGTCGTCAATGTGATAAATGATTTTGGTCTCTTCCATTGTCGATACCCCTATTATTCTACGTGCATTTGCAACTGATTCACCGAAAGCCCACTAACATGAACAATTCTCTTAAACCAATATGGCGCGTCACAGTTCGAGCCAAAGCCCTCGCGCGTACAAAGATCGTTCGTTCATTAAGTCTACAAGTTTACGTGAACCCTGTGATGCGTAACATTATCACGATCGCGTGCGGCAAGTTACGAGGAAACTGTTGACATTATTCACGAGACTCGTGCGGCGCGTATTCTTTGCTTCCGACGAGCTGAATTAAACGTCAACATTCTTGTCGACATTACATAGATTCGCGGTGGTCAGCTCGACACTCGGCAGTACGCTGGAGAATTGAAAACGAAGGAAGATAGAAAGACAATCTCCAGTCTCATTTTTACACCCTTTCGCATATTCGCGGGATGCATCGTCAGATGGCATTGCTACACCATTGTTAAAGATGGCCAAAAGACCCAAAACATTATAGCGTTGAAAACTTTACCGACAGCTCCTAGAATAATCCCTGGAAACAAGAACACACCTTTCTTTGTTCCTGCTGAACAGATTGCAAAGAAAGTGGAGGGACGTGTTCTGGAGGTCCTAAAGAATGACGCTCTGGTCCTTATTTTACCCAAAATATTGAAATTGGTGTCTGTCCACGGTCAGGAAAATGGCGGACCGGTCTCACCTGCGTTAATTTATTCGTAATATAAACATTTTTGGGAATCGTATGTCCAAATAGAAATCAGAGCGCAATTCTTTGGGACGGATAGAGCAAAACGAGCACTCAGGGGATGGTATACAAGCTTTCGTTTAGAAGACGTCAAAAAGGTAAAACAGACCACAAATTTAGTTCCTCGTTTTTTCTGGATGCAGTAACTGAGGTGGCGCTTGTATCAGTTTATGGGCTGTTTTACCGATGCGGAATTCGGAGTTCGGCCTCAACGACAGGTAAGGTTAAATTATCTTCAAATATTAAATTAAATTGTCTTTCGGGTGTTGAAAATACAAAAAAGAGAAAGAATAGCCGAAGAAAAGTCTAGCTCTTTGTTTTTTGACATTAATTCGAGGTCATCTTTAAAAATACGCGAGTTGAAATTTTTTGCTCTTGCCGATAGTTGACAATGAAGTTGGAAGAACAGAATCTGAATTATTTTCCCTTTATATCAATAATTTCTTTAACATTATTGTATTTTTTCATGTTTTCAATACATATTTCTCATAATTTACTGTTATAAATCGTGATACTTGATTTTCTCGTTTTTTACTATTATAGCGATATAAATACGAATTAAAATAACATTTCCTTCATTTATTCTGCTTTTATATCAATAATTTCTTAAATCCCGTCAATATCTTATTTCAATTCTTTTTCTTTATTTTTTCGGAAGGAAAGAGAATTTGTATGATAAGTATTAGCTTTGATATAATCACAGCTGATTTACAACGTGAATTTTACTTTTCCCTGTAATTACAGATACAAAAAGACCAGACATGCTCTATGCTCGACGGGTTATGATTTTCAGGGGTCCCAGACACCCCAGGCGAACTTAGATCTATGCGCAGTTCACTGGAGACCATAACTGCGAAAAGACTAGTTTTCGTTCTTTTGTGCGCATCTTCGCCCTGATTGGCGATACTCCCACACGAAGTGGAACGCGATTAGCGGAGAGCTCACTGCGTTCCCCCACCATCTTTCAATCTGCGCGGCTTACAATTAGTTGAGGACTCTGGTGAACTGCATAATGCATGCAGAGAGCAGAACCGGTATAATAATCATGCCTGGCATGTCTAGTCTTGTTGCATCTGTGGTCACTGGTCACTGTCTTCTCCTTAACTCGTCGCCAATGGAAATATAATCAACATGGCGTCGCTCATTGACAACTATGAACAACAATACGCCGTTTTGACAGCTGACATTACAGCAAAAATCGGTAGAATAAGAACACAAAGTGGCAGTAAGTACAAAGGAGTCAGAATCCTAGAGATCGTTCTATCGCATATCACTGATCGTTCCTTTTATGACGAACTTTCCGTGTATTCTGGCATTGTTAAACAACAATAATCAATACACGTGACGTAATTTTACAGATGAAAAAAGAGCGTTTATTCAAGATGTGGATAGGCAGATCGAAGAAGCTCAAGAGCTGGTAAATAAATTCTATAATCATTTAACTTTAACGAATCACGGTTTTGAGTTATTTAAGATTCCGGGGGTTGTACTTTATATTTTGGGGTTAGAATTGATTCTTTCAAAATCGCCGCTAATGTTTTAATGTCGTGGTTATATTGAAAAGATGTAATTTTATTTGAATCGTTACGTTCGATTTCATATTCTGTAGCTGGAGCAAATTGAACTGGAGGTTCGTGGGGTGAACAGCGTAGCTCGTGACCGCTTACGAGGTCGAGTGGAAAGTCACAGAGCAGAATTGAAACGATTGACTCAGGAATTCCAGTTAGCTAAGAAGCCAAAGGATGAAAGTCTCGAAATAAGTAGAGAAGATTCATGGGAAAACAATATTACAGAGGATCAGAAGAAGAGATTGTTAGATACTTCAGAAAGAATAGACCATACTGGAAGAACCTTACAAAATGGTTATAGAATGGTATTAGAAACAGAAGAAATTGGTTCACAGGTGTTGAAAGAACTCCATGATCAAAGAGAAACGATCCAAAGAGGAAGGGGAAGAGTAAGATACTGTATTTTATAAAACAAATTTTATTTTAATATTGCTAATACTTGGAAGTGTATTCTATTTTCTTTCAGTTAAGAGACACTGATGCAGAGCTGGGACGTGGTTCTCGATTATTATCGGGAATGATTTTAAGAAGCCTTCAGCAAAAAATTATTTTAGCAGCAGTTGCATTAACACTTATAATCGTCGCATGTCTCGTGGTATACTATAGCTTTAAATCTTAAAGCTATATAGGATGATTAATTAAGTGAAAGCTGTATTCCTTAACCAATGAGTTTTAAACGTTATCATTATTGAATATTACATTCGTTAGCGGATTATTTTCATCCGTTTGGAGCATTTGGTATAATAATTGTGTATACCTCCTGCACTCCTGAATTTTTAAAATATCCATTTTTTATCGTGCATCAAAGACCACCAAATGCTATTAACAACCGTCTAAAATTATTTCGAATCACATTTACGATCTCCGAAGTTGTCCAGTTTATAATCTATTTATTGTTGTAAATGTCAAGTTTATTTTACATAACACACACGTGCCCGATTGCATTTTACGAAAAAAAAAAAAGAAAAAAAAATGAACGATATATACGCGTTTTTGAATAGTCTACTTTGTACTAAATCGTAATTCACTGGTCGATTAATTATTGTTATTCATAAAAATATAAATCTATGATATACTGTTAGGTAATCGTATACGAACGATAGATAATCTGTATCAAAATACAAGGATGAGGGAGGCGAAGAAGAAAAAGAAGAAGACTGTAAATACAAGTATCGAAGGATGATTATACTGAAGAGAAAGTCAGACGCGCCTAATAATAATTCATTTTATTATAATGTTATCAATTACCTTAATAGCCTAAACGGTGCTTTCTTTATCTTGCGTTGCTATGTAATTGTGAAAATGATAGAATAATAAAAGTGTCGCGGGATTACGAGTATTCGATGATTCGGAGGAAGTGATCCCTGTGAATGTGACGGAAACGCATCTCTGTTCTTCGTGTCATCGTTGCTGACGAAAACAAGATTTTGAAGTCGATGGCTCAGTCTGGTCAGTCCAAGTGCCGATAGAGATCTTCTATCTGGGGTTTGAAGTACTCCTTCAACTGAGGTCGCCTTGTTTTCAACGCTGGCGTAAGAAGGCCATTTTGCACGGAGAACGGATCAGGATGTAAGTAAATATCTTTCACCTGGTCATGACAATAAGAGAAAACTATTATAAATCTGAAATTGTAAAACTTAAAACTTTCATGAATTTTTATTAAAATATCTTCATTTGCCCCGAAGTGGTGGATGAGTATAGATTTCTAAGATTATTATTTTGATTGTTTTAATTATGATTACCTGTTCAAAAGATTTGAGACCAGCTTCTTTTCCCCACGCAAGCATATCATCTAAGATCAATTGTTTGACTTGTGGATTAGCGCATAACACACTTAGCGTACCGGGTATACCGTTCTCCACTGCCCAACATTTTACAACATCAACATCCGGAATTACTATTCCTACGACGCAAGACTTTAGAGATTCTCCGTGAACGAATACTTGATATACATATTGACTTCGCAAGTAAATAGCTTCGATTTTCTCTGGAACTATGTATTCTCCTTGCGATAATTTAAACGTGTGCTTTTTTCGGTCGATTATTTTTAACGTTCCATTCTGTAACATAGAAGGCATTATTGGTAATTAAGCGATCAAATGTTTTATTTAAACTATTTTTATGGAAATCAAGTTATTTTTTCTTACAGGTAACCACATGCCAATGTCTCCTGTGTGATGCCATCCGAATTCATCGATAGCCTCAGCAGTTTTTTCAGGATCCTTGAAATACCCCACGAACACATTAGTACCCTTAACGCACACTTCACCTTGGCTCTTCCGGACGTAATATTCCATTTCCGGAACGTCTACCAGTTTAATACAGCAACAAGCTACCGGTGGTCCCACATGTTCCGGTACATGATCACCCTATAATAATTGAAAGAATTAGATACAAGAAACAGTGTTTAGTTTCTTGTTACTAAAACATTGTATCATGAATTGTTGATGGAAAAATAAGAGAAAAATAATTTATTTTACATGTCTGAAATTTCGTTCAAAGCAATTTAACAATTGGCTAGTGTACAGAAACGATGCAACATTTTACAGCAGTTGCGTGTATATTTGCAATTGTACACCTGACGTGATTCGCCACGTGCTTTGGCGCGTGGTTGCAAAATTTTTTCTACGATGACTCGACACAAATACCAACGCCCGCATATAAATATTAGCTAGTCTTCTAGCTACATCAATACCTGCAAATATGCCAAGAATAGTGACCAAGTATGTCACTTGATCTTTAGTCAGTTCTCGATTGAAATCAAATGATCTCACGAGACAATTTCGCTCGTCTCCAATTATGCTTTCATCATTGATAGAATTGCACAAATAAATTAGTATAAAATAGATTGTTGAAAATTTTCAAAATAATTATAGCTTGATTTCAATCAAGTTTGACTGAACATTTATTTGCAAATTCATGAGTAGCAAAGATTCTGCAACAGGCTGCTACTTAAACTTGACTTCAACCTGCACGATTTATTTTTTAATCCAACAGGGCTTATTTTTCTACCTCGTCGATGACTATATCATCCTACACCTGTGTTCCATGACTCAGCGGGTGTACGATTTATTCGTGGAGCGTTTATTGACCGGCTACTTCGTCGAGACACAACTATGTATTCACCTCGAGCTGAAACGTCTGTTAACAGACGTACACACTTATTCTCCTCTTTGCATTCCTCTCAACATATAATACTACTTGTTCAAGACACAGTTAAACGATAATTGCGTTTCAACTACTGGTTTGATGCCTTTACGATCAAGGTTGGTGCACTCAGGAAGATAGTTCAGGATTTTGAACCATGTTTTTATCGAATTATTTTTAGCCTCGTAGCCACGAACAGGTATTGGTATACAACAAATTAACATTAACTATTTTTATAATTTCATGTAATACTTCATGTAATGTCATTTAAATTAATTAGCTACAAGAGGTTCCATTATAAAAGTATTTTTAAATAACGAAAAGAAAACCATTTCATTTATAGATTCAGCATATTAATACATTCTAAAATAACTTTTAACATAGGCTTGAATATTTAGGATTCTTTGGGATTATGGTTAATAAAACTGTGCGTTTTGTTTTGAAAAATAACATCAATGGAAAAGTTACGACCACTTAAACTGACACCCTCCACCATAGACGTATTCATTTATCTTGTTTACATGGAAATACACACATGATAAATTTGTCCGAATTTCAGTTTCTCATTTTACAGACTAATCTGAATAGTTAACACGTTGGTTCCATATGGTGTGGGATGATTTATTGTACTGTTATTCGTTAATAAGTGATAGTAGAAATGGCTATATCTAGTATTTACGATACGCGATGATATGAATTATTAAGAGTACTAATAATTAATTTCCTAACATTTTGAATAAATGGATCCTATTAATAAAAACTGTTTTATGTTAAGGAAATTTGATTCTTACCTGAATTGTAAGTGTAATCGGTGCACTGCACTCTGTCTGGCCATATCCTTCGACGATGAGGCATCCAAGAGCACACCTGGCAAAGGTGAGCACATTTCCTGCCAAAGGGGCAGAGCCCACCATCATCAGTCTCAATCTTCCTCCTGTCGATTCCTTGATCTTTGCGAAGACAAGTTTATCCCATACACTATTACTTCTGATGATACCTTTCTTGATTTGCGCTTCTTTTGCTCGCATCCCCATGTTGAATTTCAGCCTCTTGAAACAGGAACTTTGAAGTTCGGTTTGGATCTGCAAATAGGATATGATACTAAATTACATTTTTTCAAGGGACCTTGACACCTAGTCGATAGATATTGATTCATTTAAACGATCCTTTCACGCAAAGAGTTCTTGATCAAGAACACATCTGGGATGAATGGTTGCCAAAGTGTTCATCCGTGCTGAGTATTCATTCTGACAGCTTTGAAACTTGAGAAATTTTCTTGAGAAGATATTTCAACGTACTTCTAAGTTATGGATGAAATTCGATTACACGGAAGCTTTCACGGTTTGTTTGAAATCTATTTTTGGTAGTTTTATTTCTGATGCTTAGCTTAGTATATGCCATCTTGAGTGGATAACTGTAAGGTGTTGTTTATTGATAACAAAATATAGGTGATTATTAGGTGAATCTTTTATAGAAGAAAAATTTAAGGAAGAACAAGTAGAAAAGTATAAATTGAAGCGCCTTAACCCTTTCAGGTTCAAGTTCAAGAGGGACTACAGCCCGGGGCCTCATTTTCCAGGGGGCCCATTATAAGCCTTCCATTTTCTACGTCAAAAAATGTTCGATGAAACTTATTTTTACAGCTGCAATGAAATATTTTTTATTTTGCAGACATTTGTTACTTAATATTGTAACGTGATTGAGTTAATGATTCTGACTAATTATTTTTATCAGATTTGAGGAAGTTGTTGCATAATATGATTCACAAAACACGGAAGGTTAATGCGAACAAGCAAAATATATGTATCAACGTCATGAAGTTGATACACAGATTTATTCTGGACACACACAATATACGTTCCCATTCATTCAAAATTTCAGGGTTAAGGTGGAGATGGGTCCGTCTCCACCTGTTTCGTCGCTCTATGACTGTCATCCTCGATTTTCCATTTGCCAGTGCTACATCAAAAGATATTGCGTACCACTGACCTTAATAAGATCTCCGTGTAGATGTACCGTTTCAGCAACATGAACATGTGTAATTTATAGGATACATAGATGACAGAGAAACTTGAATTAATCGATCATGGGTAATTGAAACTTGTCTAGAATGTAATAGAATCAAAATAGAGATAGAAATTATTTTATTTCTTCCCTTATTTTTATTTTGAGATGTAACCGTTCAATGATCTCAAAATAGAAATTAGGTACTGGGAAGGCTGTAGGCGTGAAAATAAAAATATATTCGCAGAGTCACGAGGGTGTATCTGGACAGTATCGCTAATGCAACTGTCCATCAAATTCAATGGAGCAATCATCAAATTATTTTTGGTGTGGCCAAAGATGAAAATTTGTTAAATGTTACACCACTATCTCTGAGCGATTCAGTTCTCAACAAATTGCCCGATATAAATTACTTAATGTGTTTGTCCTTGTATTTTGACGGGTGGATGAGTATAAAAATATCATCCTGCTCATCAATTCATTCGTTTTGATGCACACCTCGAATTCCACGATTTCCGTATAAATAAGGTTTTATATGAGTTATTTAGCGAATCTGTCCTTGCACCTCGATGAGCACTCGAAAATATCTACGCCTTCGAAATTTCCTGTAACTTTGATTGCTATAAATATAACTTGAGAGCTGGCCACTGCGTTTGGGAAGACAGAAGGTTTTATAAACATAACAGCGGAAGTATTTTGTTTTTTAACAAATATTTACGTTTCTGATGGTGGTATCTGTCGTGGACATGTAAGAGTATAAACAGATGGAGGTTTTTGCATTGGATAATTTTTAATTAATAATTGTATGCTAACAATTAAAATTAGCTTATGTAATTATAAACTAATTTTCTAGGGAAGCCTCTATGCTCGATGCTGTACATCGCACAGTAACCATGAAGTGGACTAAAGAATAATAATATAAAAATCCAAGTATTTAACATCAGCTAACAAAATGTTAACAACTGTAGAATAAAAAACCAATCTTACCTCAAATTACAAACTCATAAACGTACGAACTAACTCATACACACTTTACTTTTCAAACAGATGTCTAACATAAAACAACCTCGAGTGTAAGCAGTGAAGAGTGTTTCACGATGGGAAGTCATTATAACTAATTAAAATCATCATGAAAATGCAGTGTTAAATAAATTAATTAAAAATGAAAAGTGTTTGCAGATCTCGAGAGGTTTGGAGCTATTGAGAAACTAGGTACAATTTCGCAAACAGCACTCACCTTGTCGTACATTCGATTCAAGAGTCTCGGGACCGCTGGCATTACGGTAGGCCTCAAGGCTTTCATATCTTCGGTCAATCTTTTGATGTCACCGCTATAGAAACCGACAGACCCGCCCACCATGTACATGCCATTTTCACAGCATCGTTCCAACATGTGTGCCAAAGGTAAGAAACTGATCATAGTGTCCTTGTACGAGGGCCTATATTCTCCTAATTGCAATAATACCGCGGAAATGGCTGCTATTACGTTCTGATGTGTCAACATAACGCCTTTTGGATTTCCAGTTGTACCGGATGTGTAGCATATCGTGCAGAGGTCGTTCACTTTTGGTGGCACTTCCTGATGATTCTTTTGGGCACCGAGACGCTCGACGTCTTCGAATTTTAATAATTCCACGCCACGGTTCTTCGCCCTTTGACTCGTCGTTTGGCGGGTTTCTTTGATTACCACCATTTTCCTTAGACACCTAGGGCAAATGGAAGATGGGAAGTTAACATATTTATTTAATTTTTAATTTTTTTAATTTGACTTCCATCACTGGTTAAGCCAAATTGAGGATGGTTTTTTTAAAGATAGGTTACCGCTACTAAAATTATTTTTACAAGCAAAAATATGTAATTAACCTTCCAAAATTAAAATTTGTTTAAGGTTTAAGATGTTGGGTGCCCATAACAAAGGAGTCAATCTTTCAATCTAAATTATGTCCAATATTTTTATTAATTATTAGAAACTTAAATTAAACTTTCCAAGTCCACATACCTTGGTGCCTTGTCAAGGAGCAAATTGCACTTATTATCATTCTCACAGACCACCAGATTGATTTCAGCCTGGTTGATGATGAAGGCACAGGCATCGGGTCCCAGTGTATCGTAAAGTGGCACAACCACAAGAGAGTACGTGTAGCATGCCTGCTCTGTCAGGATCCATTCAGGGCAATTCTGACTATAAAGACCGACGATGGTGTGCGAACCTGGCGTCAGCCCCAAAGTCACCAAACCAGAGCCGAAATTCTTCGCTCTGAGCAGAGCTTCGTTGTAATGAAGCCACTGGTACGGTTTGGTAGGTCCATCGCGCCAACCGAGACAAGGGCCGTTGTCTGTGAGTAAAACAAGAATCGAGCCAAAGGCTTAATGATCACGAATAGAGGAGGAAAACACGCGTTTCGCAGTTGATCACGAGTGTCCAAGAATTTTAATTGCTGACTTTGTACGATTTTGCCAACTACTGTTTCGTCGAACGTCACCAGGAGGTCGTGAAACCACGAAAATGCAGAAGACGAAGAAATAGAGTGAAACGCTGAAGAGGGGGTAATATGCATATGTTTTCGGATGCACGTTGTTTGTAGTCACTATTGTAAACACGCAATGACTTGGTGAGTTATACTTTAGCTTTCATATGGAACATCTTGCTGAAAGATGATTGATTGCATTTTAAACCTAGCCCTTCCACCAGAGTGCAAAGTTATTCATCATGCAATTATGAATGATTTAATGAAAAAGTGATCATTCTCAAAATCCTAATTATATATAAAATTTAATTTATTTTTAGATCTACAGCAATATACCAATCAGCTGAAATACCTTCCATTCTACTTTAACACTACCCAAAGTAATTTTTCATTATTTAAAAAAAGAACTTTTTGCCACAGTTCGTCACTTTTGCGATAAATTCCTGCCATCACCGAGGAACTCGAAAACATTTACAATCCCGCTATCCACCCGCCAGCAATAATTTTAACGATCCTCGTTAAACATTGATTCGACCCTGAGAACGACAGGTGTCTTCTCGCGTGGGTTCGGTCGCGGGTTAAAAATAAGAACCTTAGCCGCGAATTAAATAACAACGCACGGTCACACCGGTGAGATCTCCGATAAATCGGCACGAGCATCCGTCGGGCTCCCAACATATTAGTCGTACGCGTTTGTCACTCGAACGTGGCCACCCGTAGCCACTTGCCAAACGGTGCATTATGCGGGCCCGTCCGTTTTATTTAAAACACGAGACACGACACCGATTCTCAAGAGACACTTACTGGACTCTTTGGCCCCCTTCCGGAACACGTCGTACAGGGTCCTGGTGTCCTCGTGTATGTAGCTGACGAATTTCCCTTCCTTGCTGTCCTTGAAAAACCTCGACACTCGTATCAGGTCGGTACCCTGCAAGCACAGGTATTCGCACGTGAGTCTCTTATTATTCGGTTACGTAACGAAAACCCAAGTGCAAACGTCTAAGTTTAGCCATCGTGGAAACTCTGCAAGAAGTTTGGCCGCGTAGGTGAACGAAACTACGATGATCCCTCGGGAGGACCCATGGATGAAGCGGATCCAACGACGCCAACTCGCTTGTGCAACAAGTCTGCCCACCCACACGCGCAAACGGAAGCTTATCTTAAGTTAAGAATTCAGAACGGACGAAACACGTATCATAAGACACTCCACCTTGACTGTGTCGGATTGATCGGTGAGGTCGATCGGTGGTCGAATCGGTTCGGGTGAGAAACAAGTCGACGTCATATCTCGGACCGCACGCAGACGCTACGGTCGACGATGATCCTTCCAGATGAAAATTTCGCGACGGACGATCGGTCTGGCCGCACGGACCGGGCCAGTTAGCCCGTTTACTACTTCTTCGTGGTTGGTACTCGCGTTCGAATCGGTTCACTTGTCAGAAAGGCTACTGCTGCTGCTGCTCCACCGAGAGGAGCGGCTGCTATCAGTAGCTCGCACATAAGACTAGCACTCTTGGTCCATCCACTACGATGATCTTCGACTATATTTAAATATAGTGGACCGCTGGTGGAGCGAGCGTCGTCCTCGACAGACACCGAACTTGTTGGATGATCGCCAACCGCGAAAAAAATCGATCAATTCGGGCTTTGACGTTGGACCAGCTAAAGAGCGATCGTTAAGCTTGTCCTTTGGGATGTCGCTGGGTTTATGCGGAGACACCATTGGATTGTCACTCTGAGTGATTGATGATGTTGTTTTGAGGGTTTGAAATATGTTGGTTGGAACTGTTGAAGATGTAACTTTATGTTGATTGATCATGAGTGAGATTAACCCTTTCGCTGCAAATCGTTCAATGCACTACAATTATTTTCTAAATTTTAGACTCAAAGCCTATTTTTCTTCAACATAGTCGATAGTTTCTAAAACGTTTCAAGTTAAATTCTTAGATGACTCATTGTGTATATAGATCGTTTACATTAGTTACATTTTTCTGAGGTTTTTGAAAGGATTAAGAGAGATGATATATAAATGTTCTGTTGAGATTATTTTAAATGAAAATTGATGACTGTGTTGAGAATGTAAAGTGGATGGAAATAGTATCGGTAGATTTTTTCATCGACAATAGCTTACCAGTGAGGTATCGATATATTGATTTTGGTTACCTTTTAACGAAAAATTACCAGCCAACCATAATCAAACATCTCAGGCTGGGGTAGCTCGAGGTCGAGTGGTAGTCTGTCAATGATAAAGACATTCCAGCGTCAATTTCGAACCCTGCTCCTCCATTGGCAGCTATTTAAAAGCGGTCCTTCAAGCTCACCAACCACCCATGGATTCGTTTTCAGTTCAAAGCAGGATTTGATCGACATCACAACCCCAACCTCGTCTTTCATCATGAATCCTTCTCACTATTTACTATTAACCATCCTTGGAACCTTCTGCGCCTATGGTCTATGGAAAACAGGATCTTTATCGTGGCAGACGTCCACGGTCCGCGCTAAAGCGTCCATCCAGTTCGATCTGTCCATCCCAGCCTCTTCAGAATCGGCTCTCCATCGCTTTTCCAACAAAACCAGCCGAAGAAACAACGAGAAGAGTCATAAAAAATATCGAGGAGCAGTGTCTAAATATATGCTGGAGCTCTTTCACCGAAGGTCGGACGTGGACATAGTCAGAGCCCTGCAGCCAATCCACGTATCAGGCCCTACGAACGATGGAGCGAGGATTCTGACGTTCTCGATACCTCTGATAGATCCTGAAGAGACTTTGGAAGCTGCAGAACTGCTTGGCGTCGCTGGAGCCATCCTCAGAGTGCGTTTGGACCAATTGAACACATCAGAAAGTTGCGAGTCCAGAAGGGATGACAACTGGAGGGCTTTTAACGTTACTTTAGCGGTGGCCTTGAGGATTGGAAACGTTCTTAGACTCAGAGTTTATGGGAGAGTTGGGTATCATCCTTGTGGAGATGGGCCTGTCCTGCTGTTGAGCTACAGTAAGGTGAAGAGGAGACGTTTAAGAAGATCGATTCAAGAGGAGGAAGCTGAGGACGATGACGGACCTCGAAGAAGACGGAGAAATTCCTGCAAACGACGGTCTTTGTACGTGGATTTTGCTCTGATTGCCTATGATGAGTGGGTCGTTGCTCCACCTGGGTATGAAGCGTATCAGTGTGCGGGAAAGTGTTTTTATCCATTTGGAGATCATCTGAGCCCAACTAAACATGCTATTGTGCAAACTCTGGTACATGGAGCTCTTCAGGGTGTTGAAGGGGGGAACAAACCTGTTGGGAGAGCTTGTTGTGTACCGACACGGTTAGCGCCTACTAGTTTGCTTTATTTGGATGCTAGCGGGACTTTGACTTATCAGTATGGGTATGAGGATATGGTTGTAGCGGAGTGTGGTTGTCGTTGAAATGCCGAAGAGTGAGTAATGGCAGTGGCGTAACTAGATAGGGTCCTGGATAGGTCTGCCCATCTTCCCTAAACGTCGATTAGCCTCCTCATCCTTTTAAAATTTTATTATTATGTCTATTGAATGTCTATTTTTATTCCTCTTTCTTTATTGAAAAATATAATATATTTCGATGTATAATATTTTCTGAGCCAGCAACATTTCATGTATAAATTTACAAATGATTAATTTTTAAGAAAAATAAGTAACTTGACTTTTCTTAACCTTCCATAATCTATCTATAAATATTGAATATGGTATAAATTTATCGATTTATAAAAATTTATAGTCTTTCATTATCAATGTACTATTTACAACCACCCTGATTTTTAATGCATGTAAAAAAATGGTGTCTGTTATAAAAGATCATTGAACAAACTTTTAAAAAGAAATTACTTTCAGATTTCATTCAATAAATTCACTGCAGCAGCAACTGGAATGGCTTTGAATACTTTTTCATCCGTCATTAATTATTACACTCTCCACGTACACAGTGTACAAATATTCATCACACCTGAGCATTGAACACATACCTTGAAGAATGCACTTTCATACGCCTTCAGAAAAAAAAGAACATTTTCAATAACTGTCTTCATACACTTCTTCAGATTCACAATACGAACAGTCTTCAGTAATTAACTAAACACCTTGGAACACATTTCGTTGTTCTTCCTGTTCAACAGGTAAGACCTGCCTGGACTGTGCAGCCTCATCCTCCTAGTCTTTCTCAATTTATGCCTGCTTCCAGCCACTCTTTCGACCTTATACACCTGGTACTTGACGGTATTCGCTGGTTGACTGAGTCTCATGCACAATGACACCGGTCCAGAGAAGTCCACATCAGTGGCCAATTCTAACTTCGGCTCCATCGTCATCGAGAATTCTGCCATACTTTGTACAAAGTCCGACCGCACCTTTGTTCCACCCTGAATCACCACACCAGCCTTCAGATCCACCAAGGACTGTGCATTCCTGGACCAAAGACTCAGTTGAATCTGCCCAGCCAGATCGAAGCTGACTGCGCCCTGGACATCAACCTCAGCCACCAGTCCAGAGGTCAATGGAATGTATTCATTGTGACTGTGTACAGAAGTCAGTGCCTGGAAGGCTGGAGTTCGTTCAGAGGCAGTACCGGACCATACATGACCCATCAATTCTCCCTGACCCGAGAAAAAAACGAAAGGCCTAATGCCTACACCCAGATAGTCTATCTCCATGCCTGCAGTAGTTGGTTCATCATCCTGAGTGTCTTCTTCCTGGCTACTGCTTGAAACAAAGCTTCCTAGACCACCAGCAAACAGTCCAAGAGAAAAGAGAGCCTCTTCGTGTCTATCTACTTCAAGAACTACGTCGACTACCCCACGTTTCAGCAGTCCTGAATTGATCTCTTGGACAGTCACCAAGGATCCGTTACTGTCTGCTGATTTTAAGAAGTCCCTAGTGAAAGCAGTACTTAGACCTTTTTGCGAGAACACATTATAGTTTACTACGTTCTTCCCCGCAGTCTCTAAGGTCTCCATCAAGTACATGTTTAATTGAGGGTCCTTTTTGGATAACTGTTCCAGTCGAACATTGAGGTACTTTCGGATCTCGTAAGCTGGATCTGTGCCTGCTAAGTATTCCACCAGGTGTTCCACATCCTTCTTTGATGGTTTGGTCTCCAGAATGATGTCCAGTGCCAGAGTTCTAATACTGCTGTCCCTTTTAGGTCCGCCCATCTGGTAGAACACCCGTCTAGCTGTATCTTTCACTTCGGCAGTGATGGAGTCTTTTGGAAGGGCAGCCAGTGCTCGCCAGGCTGCAACACTAAGAGCCCTGCTCTCGCTGGTTGAGAATCGCAGGAGTGTTGGGATGGCGGCTTCACTTCGGAGGTTCCTCAGGGCTCGAAGGAACTTCAGCTGGCAGTCTTCTCCGGTGCAACTCTCTAGACCTAGCTCTAAACTGAGCCTCGCATTCTCAATGGCGGCTGGTGATTTCAGGTGACGAGCCATCGCTGCTGCGGTTAGGGCTATAGTTTCTGATACCTTGTCATTAGGTATCGTTTCTTCTGATCGTTTCAGGATGTCCTTGGCGACGTTTGCGTTCGGGGTTGGTGACAACGACAGAGCCCAGAGGTATCTTTCAGTGTCGTCTCCTATTTCATCCTGTCTGAGGATCTTCATAGCTGCCTGATGACCTGGTAATGTTGATGCTGAACCAAGTATGTCTAATAATTGTGGTTTCAATTGACGATATCGCGGACTTTTTAGTAGCTTGAACAATTCTTCCCCTGTAGCGGATTTGACTAGAGGTACCAGCTTCAGGAACGCTGAAGCGGACTTTCCGGTGCCCAGGGAGTTGGCCTCTAAGACACTGCGATATTCTTCGATCGTTCCTTCAATCTGAAAATCAGTATTTAATGTTGTTAATAGAGAATAATTTCTTCATAACCAGATTAATAGACAGAAAGCTGTTTTCCGAAAGAATACAAAATTATAATTATCATCAACTGGTTACTGCACGTGAATAAACAACGGATAGGAAGCTCTTGACAAACAAAGTTACTAATTTAAACAAAGATAATTTTAAACTTTCCGGTATTTCGAAACTTTCGACCTATTGATTTTGGCGTAGAAATCGTTTCTGCACGAGATAAAGTCGTAGTCAGCAGACCATGCAATATCATTCTTAAAATGATGATATAAATACACGGAAGAATAATAGTTTGCACTTAATATTCTCTTACACTTTATGGCCGACAATTACATGTATCTTGAGAAAATAGAAATGCTTTTTGCATTTTGAACGAAATGAAAGCCAAAAATATCTTTCAAACCAACCGTTGGGCAGCCACTGTCTGGACAGATGGACGGTTCCAATTGAAGTTCAATGTTCACTTCCCTGGCTCCAGGTAACACTGCAGCCACAGCTTGTTTCAAGGTATCAGCTTGCACGCTTTTCACTTCCGTAGCATCAATCATCTCAAGTGTCCTCTCAGACGTGACTATGGTTCCCATATCCGACCTCGCAGTCAGTGTCATTTTATGCCTCTCTTCCTCCCGGACCTTGTATGGCAGAAATTGAGCCAAGGGCTCGTAAGTGGCATTGCGTGTGCTCGTTATTTTCACGTCGAAAAGTGGATTCGGATGTCGTTTTCTGGCTGGCAGACTGTTTTGTTCGCAAAACGTCTTCCGTTTTTCCACGATTTTCGTATCAAGCTGACGATACGTTACGTTGCAGAGACCGGAAGCGTCTCGTTCTTGAACACCTTCGCCGAACATTGCGTTTTGAAAGAGACTGGCCAGACCGCGCTTCAGATTTGCCGAAGACACGCTCTCCGAAGCGTCCATGAAGACTGATTGGATTTCGCCTTTCCTCCAGAAGATCAATACAGGCTTTTCGACGACCTTGCCTATGCTGGAAGAATGTTCCACGAAACCTTCTGGCTCTGGAGCTCTTCGGGATTTGATCCATAGTTGCGGCGATACAAGCTGAAGAAGAGATTGGATATTAATTTACGACAGGAGATAAAATTTCAAAATTTCAGAATTCTACAATCCCAAGATTCCAAAATTCTTCGAATTTTGAATTTAAATTATTGATTTTAAAAGTTACTGCGTTTAATTTCAGTCATATTCAGTATATCTGTCAAAATATGCTTCATCTTCACTTTTCTTTCAGCGAAAGGTTATCAGTTATATGAAGACTCCTTTGATAAGGGTTTCATTTATAGAAGCAAACTGTTAGGAATCCCAAACTTGGAGGGTAAAATGATTTTTCGTTAAAATATTATGTAGTCCATTAGCATACTATTAAAATTATCTTCAAACTCCATTCAGATCACTTTCGCTGAACAAATAGGAGTCTCCCACCTGAATTCTCAACAAGAAGCTCGCGTGGTCGTCAGGATTCTTCCAAACGGCTGCTAGATCAAGTTCACCAGTCAATCTAAAGCCAACGTCCCCGCTGGATTTCGTGGGAGCAGCCTCGCTGAAGAGCAAGGTCGTCGTCAATTTGTACTTTAGACTATCTCCCACGCCCCAGCCTTTGGTGGCTCCAACCACAGCTACAACAATCACCCATAGCTTCCAGTACATGATTCTTAAAACGTTGAATATAACTGAAATAATGTGTTTCGCGTGGAAAGAAAACAACGGAACATAAGGAAATTTTGGAATGTGACCCAACGAGAGTCACGCGTCGACTGACAAACATTGCTTGCCCGGTATCGTTCGTTTGAATCGATGAGACGTAGGGATTCAGTCGCTTGTGTGCGCACGTCACGAGGAGCATTGGGAGTAAGTACTTCTGAATCTGAGTTAATTTCAATATTCAGATTTCATTTAATAAGTTTCAAACTTCTGAATAGTGTATAAAATTAAAAAATTTTACAATAGCTCATTTTTACTTACTTAAAAGTACGATTTCTGGTAGCTAATATTTTCAGTCAAAGTTTGAATCTACCTACGAAATACTCTAACACATCCCTACTTGCAAGTCCCATATGGGATGATAACGATGTTGTGAGGTTTTCTATGTATATGAGTATATGCATGTAGGATGTTTGATTATGGAGCGATTATACGTGTAGAAGTGAGTTATGAATAGTTTTTTCTTTGTTTGGTGACGTACAGTTTGTACGAAGAAGTGAACTTTTCCACTCGCTGCAATATTCGAAAATTAGGAATTACAAATAAATCTTTCCATATACTTATAATAATATTAAAGATTTAAACAATATATGAATGGCAAAATGATAAGGGAGCCAAGATGGACATAGTTATGCCAATGATGATATATGGAGAGACATTGGGTGGACATTGCATTTCCTCTTTTTCCTATCTAATTACAACGAAAGAGAGATGTCATTTCCGTGTCTCTACGTGTAACAGGGACTTGATGAATTAACGGTGTTTAGCGTTCGTTTGACCAAGTGTATCTATGTGTATGTGATTCCGTAAATGCAAGTACATAAAAAGTTACAAATGCACATGCATATCGTATGCTTCACTGCAGGACTGGATTAAGATTCTTGGGGCTCCAAGGCTATCGGACGTTGAAGGCCCCCTTGACTAAAAATTGAAGTTTATTTTAAATAAAATTAAAATAACATTTAAACATAAAGAAAAGTTCCTGCAACATTTTTTGACATAGTTGATTTAAGACTTATAAGGGGGCCCCCTATAACGTGGGGCCAGTGTCTGTAGCTCCCCTTAGATCCCCATTTAATCCGGTGCTGCTTCCTGCGTGCTTCGTCGCTTTTAGAACAAGTCAGATACTGGCGAGTCCGTGTGCGTTTTAAGTATGCTTGTATACCGGGTGATTAGAAAGTACGAACTTTACAAACGCGTACAAACACCTCGATAACTTCAATTTTGATAAATATAAAATACAAAATTAATAGTTTACCTGGTGCCATTTGACAGTAGGAACCTAGAAAAAGAAAAGAATTTCAATTAGAGAGAATTTTAATTAGGTGGTCACAAGTTGTCTTCACAGATAAAGAATATAGGTAAATGAGGCGAATAATGGGACATTTCTACCTTTACACTTCTCTTTAACTAAGAAAAGCCTAAGTTGCATGAGATTTTACACTACCCTGCTCTTTTTAATTAAAATATCCTATCTACCCTATTAATTAAAATTGAGAATAAATGAGGGATCGATTACAGTGGAATTTAAAAGTAGCCGGGTTAGGATTGCTCAGGAAAGGTTAGTCGGAGGGCTAGTTTATATTAAGCGACGAGAAAACAGGTGGGCCAACGCAAAGGCTGGTGACTTACCGAAGAGTGCCAGAAGGTAGACGAGGGAGACGGTGAGCACTGTGGCCGGCCTTTCCGGGCATGCCATCTTCTGCTCGTACCTCCGGGACGACCTTCCTCGTGCCTACTACCCTCGACTCTTCGCGTTTTACGTGGTTCCGTGTCGTCTTCTTCTCCTTCTGCGAGTAAACACGAGTAATTAGACGAGGCAAGGCTACGTTATCGAAACCCGAGACCATCTCTACCCGTTTCCCTCTCTTTCTTCACCGTCCATTTCTTCCTCCTTCTAATATAAGTACAGAGGACGATGTACCTCCCCCTCCATCGAGATCCTCCCGTGTAGGGGAAGGGAAAGTATGCGGTGTGGGGATGATGGTCTGGTTTGTAAAGGTGTGTTCGGAAATGGGATGACTATGGTTTGTTTTCTATGTTTTTCTGAGAAAATCCATCGTTGGGCATGGTTCCTTTAGAATATAGGGAATTGGAATTGGTTTTTGGGGTGGTTTTGTTTGAAAGCTGCTATTTTAGAGATTTTTCTAATTCTTCAGAAAATTGGAGTACTGAATACTGATAGACTTTTGAAATGGATCTGTAACGTATTCAATTTGCCGCAAGGTAGTTTAGAAACCTTGAAACTAGTTATCCGCAAAGTTCATACGGGGTCAAAGCACTATCGTTTTACATTGACACGCGCGGAATTACTATAGTAAATACTTGAAAATCAATGAAATTTCTTTCCAACTGGCTTACTGTTTCTTTACTAAACATGTTAAAAGTAAAATTCTTTTTCTACTCGATAAATATAGCTAAATATTTACGTATGTTCATTCAGAAAAACTTGTTCTGAAAATTGAAAATTATAGTGCACAAAAAGATAATAATTAATGTATTCAAAGATCTGATATGCAAATAGTGTCATCAATTAAGAACTTTTAAGTGTATTTATACAAATTCGTCATTTTTAAAAGTGAAAAAGTGTCACTGTAAATTAGCAGAAAATTAATATCGATAACTGCCTACTGATTGCTTAGCAAATTGAACGAGGTCAGAGAATCATTATCACTAGTTTTTGTGTGGCGGAGTGAAGGAGAATATTCAATTCTCATAAAAATATAAAATTTTATATATTTTAGCAAATTAGGGTCAGATGACCTCCCTATCGAACAATTATGATTACGCCACTAATTACAATAAATAAATACCAATATGCATTCTTTCATAACAAAACCCTTCATTGATAACAATTAATTTTCACTTACTTGCTTTCTACAAAACGAATTCAAAATTCATTTTTCCAGTCACTAATACTTCGAGTTCTCACTTTCAAAACATAAAATGTTTCTAAAAAGGGTAGTTTCTTTCAAGATCACTAGTTAAATGTAATTTCGACTGCTCTAGTTGAGCACGCGACGCGATTTACATCGACTGGGAACAAGAAAATGACTTGAATGTCGCTTGGTGAACAAAGAGTCTTGGAAATGTTGATTTGTGAAACGTAAATTCTCTGACGGAACGACTCTGGAGGTACTTTTATCACTTAAATCGACCTTTGTTCCGTAGATGATCTCACTAACTTTCTTATTAGTTGAGTTTCATTCTTTATTTCATTGTCTTCGAGTGATTGTTTTCCTCTGACCTCACTTCCGGCTTTAAACTTAAAACATTTTCAACAAATATTTGTAAAGGAAAAGAAGAGAAAAATGAATATCCGTCAACATTACACGTTCCGCTGTAAACGAAAAACTGATGAATATTTCTAGTTAGAGTACTTTATATAATACACATTCGTGTATGCAAATAGTTTAAACAGGAATAATATCTGATCAATTTTTGTATGACATTTGCATTTTTAGTTCTGTTTTATTTTCAAAAACCATGATAGTTATTTTAAAAATACATTAACATTAACACGTTTATTAAATATAATTAAACACAAATTTTCAGTACTGAAGTAATAGAAAAAAAAAACACATTCAGAAAATTGTATTGTTATTCAGTCAGTGAACATTAATTATTTCATTCTATAGTACTTAATATTTGTTCATTTACTGACAAACAGTATATGTCGAATTTTTTAATTGAAATAATTGTTTTTTTACTGTTTTTAATAATATAAAATTCAATTAAAGGTAGCTGGCCGCAGTGTGATGGCGGAGTGGGGTAGGATCCATCAGTCAGTCTTCGGACGTCATATAGAAGGGGTTGTATGCTTCTTGCTTTCCACCATGGCGCTATCTATACAAAAACAGCTCAAACTGATCAACGACTTATCAATCGATTTTTTAAACTAACGCTACCTATCGAAAGAAGCGAAAACTATGTAACCATTTACCGACTGCCAGAGGATAAACCAACAAATTGGCTCGCCGGCGGATAAACCGATAAAGATAACTGACAGAAGGTAATATAATTTATCCTACAGTTTTTCTGTAGTTGCATGACCTAACAGTAGAGGGTGTAAAGCAGTGATAATCTGTAAAAGGGTTGCAATATGGATAACCTAGATGACTCGACGTTTGTGCTAGCAAGATCAGTGATGGCGTATAAAGTGAGTACTTATTACTTTACTTATTATTTATATATTTATATCCGTATATAAATTATGTTGTACGTATTGTTCGTTAAAAAGGGGTTTGTAGTAAAGTTATTGTCGTTTGCTTATGAACAAATTAGGTACTGTTGATTATCATAGAATGTGCTCCCCGTACTTAGTAATGACGAGGATCGATGACAATGATGGAAAAATTAGATTACCTTTGAATCGTATAAAATATTCTCTTTTTCACTGAAAATGGGTACATTATATTCGTAGATATTTCAATGAAAGCGTTCATTGAAGGTTAGTTCTGGTAAACACAGCTATTCAGATTTACATAGACTGTGTACTTAAAAGAAAGATTGAAAGATAGGGTGGATGGCAAAAGATCGAAGGGTAAACGCGATTTTCCGCAACAGACTTGACGCGTTAGGTTTTCAGCGGATAGAGAAGTCGAAAGAATCGAATATGCGTGCAGTGCGTAAAAAAAATGGTCGAAGATCGACGGTCAACGGTCGGCATAAGCGCGACAGATTAATCGTAAATGGAAATTGAAATACGTAATGATCGTTTTGCAGTCGTAAGGAGTAGACGTAATGTGCGTATATTTACTTTAGTACCCACCTGTTGCCGTAACCCAGTTTCTTACATATACCAACCGGAAAGTTTTTCAACTTTCCAAGGATTCCTGAAATTCTCGAGGTGTATAGTTGGGAAGGAACCGCTTTGCAAACGGATGTCCGAATTAAAGGATGTTATGTACGGAAACGATTCGTTCGGTAAGCAAACTGGTAGATTACACGTGGTTGGAATCGATTAGAAACCGAAAAATTCGTTTGTGAAACGCAAGAAACGCGATGCATCGAGGCAATCAAGTTGTGGCAATTTTAAGATCGTATAGCTTTATGATTAGTCAAATTCGTCGAAACGTTCCCTTTCGAGCGTTTTAAGTTCAGATACGAATCGGTTCGCATTCCCTACGAATAGAAATTGTGTAGCGATCGATCGGGACCCGCTGCTTTGGCATTTGCATACAATCGCTATCGCGTTTGCTTTTGCGCAGACAACGAACATCTTTCAACCGGTTGTCTTACTTTTACGCTTTTCGGATTGTTCACCGAGTTGCAGCTTAATTCTTTGCATATTTAATATTCTGAATCTTGTATAGTCGAAAGAACAAAAGAGATATTTAGGCAAGTTTGAACTAGACGAAGGAACAGGTGAATAAATAGGGGATAGATAGATTGGCTGTACACATACGAACGTGTACGACAAATGGATAGGTAAGTCGATAGATAAAATAGGATGGATAAATAGATAAATAGATGGATAGATAGATGAACGGATGGATGGATGGTTGGATGGATGGATAGATAGTTAGATGGATGAATAGATAGACTGATAGATAGAAAGATATAGCGCGTAAAAGAGGAAGAAGGAGAGAGGTATGGCGCGACGCGTCATTGCATGTGCACGTGCATTGATACCGATATTTATGCCCGCCAGTTAATCATGTCAAAGTCGTTTGATTTGTCGTTGGCTTTTATGGAGGGGAATTAAAACGTTCATTTCGCCGCAGACACTGGGCAACAGTGTGCTCGTCGTGCAAACGTTGTCGGTGTTGCTGTTGTCGCGATTGCTCTATGAATTATTTTCTGGACAAGCCTTGCGCGATGTAACGAAATGGGGAGATGGAGAGCTTTTTGGAAAATTACAGTATCCGGTTTACGGTGTAAAATTCGTACCTTGTCGTAGGTTGATGCGCGTGATCGTCGTTGATGGGATAAAACGGGATGGTACCGAAGATGTACCGAACCACGAACGGTTCGATATGTTTCGAGGAATAAAAGGAACATGTTCGTATTGTATCGGTGAACGTTAGCGATCATATTATTAATAGGAACGAAATAAGTAGTGTAACACGAGTGAGGGGAGAAGAACGTAGAAAGGTAGACGCGGAAATGTCGAGAGGCTGGAGAAAGTTTGTAGACGAGTAGAAAAGATGGTCCCTTGCGAATCGACAGCCGTCCGTCAAAGTGGTCGGTGACGCGACACGGTACACGAAACGGTGCGATGCGGCGTGGCGAGTCGAACTAAGTGTGGAGAGAGCGGAAAGAAGCGAAAGAGACGTTTTCAGTCTCTTTTCTCAGGCCAAGGATCGGTCTACGGAGAATTCGAGGCGAACAAGAGAGAAGGACGGAGAGGGTGCAATAGAAGAAAAGGGAGGAACGTAAGGGATCCGGGGGGTGATGGCGATGGTATGGCAGTGGTAGTACGGGGTGTAGGGTGGTAAAAGAGGCAAGGTGGAAAAGGAGGCAGTAGCAGTCGGCATCAGCTAGGTCCGCGCACTTCTATCACATTGGGCGAACGGGCGGACAGCTCCGAGGCGATTTGTCTTTCATTTCGGGCTAATTTATTGCGCCCAAGCAGCTTCCCTTCCTCTCTTCCTATCCTCTCCCCTTCCTTCTCTTTCTTACATGCACACCAGATACACGTACACATTCTCTCTTTTCTCTAACCCTCCCCCCTCTCTCTTTCTCTTTCCTCTCGCGGCGTTTCTTCTTCCCTTGAATTCTACCACTTACCCCTCTTAGTCTCTCTTTCTTTCTCTCCCTTTCTTCGGATGCGCTTCTCCTCTCGTCTTTCTAGCGCTATTCTCGACTCCGCACCATTCAACCACGCCCCACCCAACTAATGTCCCACATAAAACTTGGTATCAGCGATCCTCAAACGGGGATTTACAATCCCTTCAAGCGCCGCTGTCACGATAAATCCTCCAGGGCGACGTCGATATATCTCGCGCGCGAATACTTCTGTCCCTAATGGATACCCCACGGTACATACAACGCGCGTCGAACCTGAAACCAGTCTAGATCTTTCGTACATCGCTTCTAAACTCGATTCTCTTCCTCCTCCTCACCCCTTCAAATCTGCCATCTTTCGCGCAATAACCACGTTTACTAGCGTTTTTCTAATTGTAAATATCAAAAAGAAAAACAACTTTCATCGTATCAACCATGCAACTTACCTTACATTTCTATATTTCTTTCAAAAGATAGAGATATAGAAAGTGAAAGGGGGAGAGGGAAAGAGACAGGCGCCGAAAGGATAAGAAACAGTAGAAAGGATCTGCGTGAAAACGCATTATCCAGGTTATAACGCCATCCTATTAGGGTAGTCGTCGCCGACAGTTAATAAGAATAAAAGCGCGCGTTCGTGCAATTAAGAGCAGTAATAAGCGCCTTAAGGCCAATAAGATGTTTCCTAATGGAACTAGCTAACAGCATCGAGGCAATTATCTAGGCGTGCATTAAAGCGAACATAAAGGTCCAGAGGATACGGCATAGCTTAATAGTTGGGTCGAATACGTTGACCCGATCGTATCCGATCTCGATAAAAGATTCGCCCTATCGGCCTATCCTGTCTCCGCGTTGCTTCCTTTATTTCTTTTCCACCCTTCAGCCCTGTTCGCTGCTCGTTTCTTCGTTCATTCACTTTTCCTTCTTCCGCGGAAAAGATAATCTCTTGCCGTGACACGGAACGCGTAACAATGCGAGTGATTGAAATCGAGGCAGGTGCATAGATGGAAGGGGAGCAGGGGAAGAAAGGTGTATTCGTCGAGATGAAAAGGGGTGAACCGACAGTTGGGGCAGCATTCGAGTCGAGTTGCTTTAACATTGTCGTAAAAGGGAGCACAGGGTAAGAGGAAATGCGGACAGAGAGGTGTACGCGGATAGATGGGAATAAAAGGTAGAAGGAGGCGAACAGACGAAGAAAGCTCGCCGGTTTCTCGTCGGAGGCTTTCGGTGTAAGTCCTCGTTATGATTCAACGCGCTTTAAGCCGGTCTTCACCGAAGCCTTTCGTCTTTCTCACCACTTTGACTAATTCTCCTAACAAGTTCCTCGTTTTCGTGGCATCCATTGGCGGAGCAGGACCCCGAGGAATACGTATTCAACGAGGTTACCC